CATTAAGCAACCAACTATTAATCAATCAATAGCATCCCTCCCATTCTCTGTGATACTGTAAGTCACCATTGGTCTTCCTCCGACCGGCAGTAAAACTCTCGCCAAATTGGGGCGTCCGTTTGGATGTGCGGGATGTAAATTTTCGCAGCCAGGTCCGGTCAGAATGGAGTCCTTTCATCCGATGCCTCGTGTAAAGAGAGTGCCACGCTCTTTGCACGTTAAAAACCCTTGCAACAACTCTTTGAGGGGTCCGTAGGTGGCCTGTTATAAAAATAAATTTCTGTCCCTATCCAATATACCCTCATTTTCCCGTGGCAGTCCAAACTTTCCCCGACCTATATCCCGGACGGCCTCTATTACAGGACCTACCTATTGTATTTATTGTTAATTTGTTCTCGTCCTGAACATGCATGGAATATTAGCTACTGGACATTAAGCAACCAACAATCAATCAATAATCATCTGATATGTCATACTGCAAGTATCCCCTTTCCAGTCAAACTGTTAATACTCCCTTCACTGTGATACTGTGAATATCACGTTCCTTTCCTGTTTGTCTGTGGTACACCTTCCCTTCCTGACATATTGTAAGTATACCTTTTCCTGTCATTATGTAGTTGCCCTTCCCCTTTTCGGACATTCTATAAGCTACCCCTTTTATCGTCTTAGTGATACTGTAAGTATCGCTCCCCTTCTCTGTGATACTGTATGTGGACCCCTCCCCTTCCCTGTGATGATGTAAGTATCCTGCCCTTTCCTGACATACATATTTGGCTCCGTGTTTAAGGCCTCACTGTGACTTTGAGATGAAGAACAGCAATACAAGCGCTGTTCCGTTGCTTTCTGTCTGTTTCTTTTGCGTTAAACGGTAAGTATTTCTTGTTATTCTGTAATTAGTCTGTCCATTCCCTGTAGTACTCTAAGTACCACTATCCTTCCCTGTGATACTCTAAGTATCCCTCCTCTTTCCTGACATACATTATTGTCCCTCCCCTCCCCTTCGACACTGTAAGTATCCCTCCCCTGACGTGTCATACTGAACGTATCCCCTTTCCTGTCATACGGTTAATAACCCTTCTCTGTGATACTGTGAGTATCACGCTCCTTTCATGTTTGTCTTTGTTACACCTCCCCATCCTGCATCTGCAGGGGGGGGGGGGGTCATTTGTGTCTCCCAGACACAATAATATCTCAAAGAAAGTCCTACATTGACTGTTATAACACAGTTACTTCAGAGTGGAGTGCGGGGGCATCACTTTGTCTAGTCTTTCATTGTGAAATTACCCTTTCCCTTTCTTGACATACTGTAAGTATTCCCTTTTCAGTCATTTTGTAAGTTTTTCCTTCCCTGTCATTCTGTGATTATTCCTCCCTATTCCCTGGGATACTGTATGTCCTTTTTCCTTATTTTTCCTTCGAACTCTAGGTATTCCCTTTCCTGTTTAGTGCCTCCTTTAACTATTCCCTTTCCTGTTTAGTGCCTCCTTGCCTGTTCGTGTGTGTGTGAACCTCCTTTCCTGACATACTGTACGTATCCCCTTTTTATTCTATAAATACTCTCTTCCCTGTCATTTTGTTATTATTGTTGTACTGCAATTCACTGTATGGCTGAATCACTTAATACATAATACAACAAAACATTTACTTCTAATAACTAAAGTGGCTTTTTAATATCACATGTATTAAATGTTAATTTCATGTTCTCGTCCTGAACATCCATGAAATATTTGCCACTGGACGTAAAGCAACCAACAATACATCAATCAATTGATTTGTTTAAAGTCATATGATAAATTCAAACGTAACATACACGAATAAATAAATTAGTGACGAAATTTAAAGGGATTCATCAGTGAAGCCGTTCATGCCAGATTCTACATCAACTTCATAAACGATTTAAAAAGTAAAATAACAAAAATACCGAACTCCAATTAAGGAAAGTTCAAAACGGAAATTCCCTTATCAACCTGGTTTTATAGCTAGCTAAACCTCTCACTTGTATGACAGTCGCATAAAATTCCATTAAATTGACAACAATGTGTGAACGAAACAAACAGACATAATAGGAAAAAAATGTCAAAAATATGGGTACAGCAGTCAACATTGTGTTATTATCGAATATAATCTTAATCACTTTAAACATGATAAAAACAAACAAATATGTCAACAAAGAAAAACAAAAAGGTATGGAACGCCGAATTACAATAAAAGAGTGACGTGTGGATTTATTAGGTCTTTCCACTTTTCTGTGGAAAGACCTATTGTATTTGTTCTGATTATTATTTTATTCTTCCGCCAAATTTTGTTATCGCGTAAAATTTTTGTTTCGCAATATGTCGCTAAGATATTTCTTATATAGTATCATACAGTTTATGCGCTTTTTATTTTCACCCATTCTAAGCCGAACAATTTTCATTGTAAGAGTTATCCTATTCACTGTTTATCAAGTGTGTGCATCTCCTTCGTAACAAAAAAATATATCGACAAAATTCTTATTCTAAATTGTTTGTTACATCCTCAGGAATTTTTGGCTAATTTGGATCGAAGCGATTCGATGAAATTTTAAAGGAGTTATCTACCTTTACCAAATAAATTTGTCGGTATGTTTTTTTAACTCATAAACCGTTAACCGTATAACCCTGGAATCTTTTTTTATGAGGTCACTAGGTCCTAACTTAGAAAATGAGGTCAAGGTCAAGGTCTCAATTTTGACTTTTCGTTGTTTTTTGCATTTTCTCAATCACTTTTAAAGATATATATGAAACAGCAAGTGCAAAATGTTTGCTTTATTGTAATGAAGATATGTTACATTAGGTCTGAAACAATCTAATGGCATCTTATAGGAGTTAGTGCCCCTGAAATGTCCAATTATAAGGTTAATTGATTATTACTTCAACTTGGTTCACTATAAAGCCATATGAACTTATACAAAAGGTTGGATGACATACGACCTTGAAAAATGACAACCGGAAGTGACCTTGAGAAAACCGGAAGTAGCCATTTTTGCACTTTCTTCATGGAAAAGTACTCGGAATCCATATATTTTGTAATTTTAATACATTAACTTATCACTGAAGACTAGAAATGACCGTTTCGATAAACCGGAAGTGGTCAATTATCTCCTGTTTTACAAGCAAAAGCATATAGAAACTATATATTTTTGGAATCAGTGTGAAAGAAACAATTATATGAGACCGGAAGTGACATTTACTTCACCTGAAGTAGCTAATTATATCCCTTATTTCACTCAGAAGTATATAGAATACCACTTTTTTATCGCATCAGTATGAAGAAACTGATGATAATATGCCAATTTTAACTTTGAGTAAACACGAACTAGCTTCTTTTCAATAAATTTTTAAATTGCTGTGGAAAGACCTTCAGTTGTTCTCTGAACAATTGGTTTTTAATTGTATTATAATTTCATTAAATATAAAAATATAATCAAATAATATGTGTTATGTTTGGTAATTATTTGCATCGGCTCTGGGATCGACGGTGTGCGCATGCTCGACTATATGAGAATAAAAAGGGGAATATTTCTCATACGGAGGTCAACCAGAGCTTTCCTGAGACGTTTCAGTCACCGACACCGTAAGATCAACTCCGTTGTGGAAGACTAGGGCGGTGGTCCCAGATGCTCGCAACTCTACACAATAGTTACAAGGAGAACTTCCTACACTTGTAAACGGGTACTTTGGTGAAAGTGACTTGAACGTTATTGCATACAAAAAGTGGGTAGGGGTATAACACTATTTCAATTTAAAGTTGTCGAATGTTTGAAGTTGTCTCCAGCACTGGTATGGTGATCTTACACCATTTATCATTAACGTCAATTGATAAGCCGTAATAAGTAACCTAACACTTTATGATGAGGTTATCCTCCACAAAAAATTTCCGGATTAATTTGATTACAATAATAGTCTCATAATACTTAATGATGACGTCAGATGGTATCCTTACGGGTATCTTTTCCCATAAGTTTAACATTAAAAATAAGTCGCTTTAAACTCTTACTTCCGCATTACTGATATATGTTTGGTGTGTGTGACAGACAATAGACATTTCCGCAAAAAATAAAGACGAAAGTTTAATGTCGATTAAGAATTTGCTACACAGTATAGTATGCATATTATGATCACAAATATCAAAAACTAATATCACTGTATTCAAAGTAATTTTGACTCAGTATCATTTCTTGTGTTTATTTTTATATATTTAATTTCTTTGTTTATCTGTTCATATACTATTGCATTCAATTAAATATTTTTTTATTCAACTTGCAGTATAACCTGTTGATATGCTAGGACATATGTGCTACAACAAACTTAAAAGGGTAAAGTTAACTTTTAAACACTTGCAACCTTGGATATGTATACAAGTGGTTTTTTTTTTCTCTCTCAACAGACACAACCTTGTTAAACAAGATCATTCAGCAGGCTAAACATGGTAAATGGAAGGAACAACAAAAAACTTAGTGACGCAGTCTTTTTTTCAAAGCCATTACCAAAATGTCTAGAAACATCTTTGACACCAAAGGCAAGTACTCGCTTCAGGTACATCACGGAGACAACAGTCTAGCACTTCAGGAACATCTTTGACACCAGAGTCAAACACTTCAGACACTTTAGAGACTAACACATCAATAGCAGAAAAAACTTAAGCAAAATGGCTGAGACAACCCCATAAATAATTCATAAGATCCTGATGTAAACCCCATTTTTACCCTGGATACGGAAACCATCAATAAAGACTCATCACAGAAACCTCCGACTACAGGTAACTCGCCATTTACTTTTAAACTGTGCATTTATTACCGAGATGTTGAGCAAGGCATCTTTGAATAATAAAATTACAAAAAAATATAAATCAACCATTTTCTCTCAAAAACAAACCTATAACAGGACTAAAATCATGTTATATGATTATTGGATGGTATACGTCAATGAGACAGTAAACCATCTACAAAAACAACCAAAAGACAAATAAACTTGGTAACAAACAGTCTTCAACAATTTTACTGGTCCAAAGTTCACAAAAGTTGTGTTTAAATTAAACAAAAACTTAAGACAGAAGTTGCAAAGGTATAAAAAGATATTAAGATATGTGACGTAAAACAACTGTTGGATGCAACTTTAATGACTTACAAGTATAGTTAAAATAGCCAAGTGGTTTCAGCGAAGATGAACTTATCATGTTTAAGGGTTTCAAATGCAACCAATACTTCCATGTTTGCACTCGATCACGATTCAATGAAGACAGTTTGTAGACTTTCTTTCACTCATCAACTCCCTTTGACTTTTGTTTTTAAACATTTCACAATGTTATGTCATTTTTATTGCCAACATGGATTGACGCATGGAAGGTCATCTAGGATTGTATCTCAATTGGTGTCTATTGGATGAAAAACATGACTGCCAGAGGCAATCTATGATTCCAATTGGTCCATTTAAAAAACGTCTCCTCTGAAACGACAAAGCATATGTAAAAGTTTAAATTTTTGGTTGATCTATGAAGACAATATCATCCGAAGCTTGTCAGAATTTTAAATTTTACAGGAATATGAATTGATTTGTCCATAAGTTTCAAAACTAATGGAATTTATTACTGTGTGTGAACAGCACTGTTGTGAATCATTATAAGTTGCCTAAAACTTTAGCTGTAGTTTGAATGTCAACTAAAGAAAATAAAGACAATCCGAACCCTGGTAGAATTCAATATCAGTTTGCCAACCTGCACTTTCATTCTTCACAAAATGTAAACCCCGCTTCTGATGTTACTTCTTGTCATCCACGTACAGAAACGAAAACGATTGTGTAAAATAAAGAGATGTGGTATGAATGCCAATGAGTCAACTATATATGCAACATAGTCCAAATGAAGCGGATTTAAGTAATTATAGGCCACCCGTACGTCCTTCAACAATGAGAAAATCCCATACCATATATATAGTTGGCGATAAAAAGCCGCGACATGAAAAAATGAATATTATTAATTTAATTCACTATTAAAGTTCTGATTTACGACTAAACAATAAACGAATAAATTATACATGACGGACGACAACCACTGAATTATAGACCCATAACTTGGGACAGACACATATAGAAAGGGGGGAGGGGGGGGGGGGTAGATATGTTTGTGAGCTCTCAACACTCCTCATAACCTGATACAATGGTTTAACAGCACAAAATAAGAAGAAATAGTCAAAATCAGTTGGAAATGGCTTCACTCATCTGATCGGTACAGTGCACGCAAAAAAAACTAACAAAAAGACAAAAGATACAAAGTACCGATCTAAGAGTACTCTCTAGTTCTAAACCAACAACTATTAAATAAAATATGTTCACCAAGACTGAAATATCAATCAGTACCCAGAGTCGATGGGGTTTGGAGCAGGAACCCCCCCCCCCCCTTTTAGAGGTTATCTGTTTATCTTCATATATGGTAAGTTCATAGACTTTTTCTACTCCTAACGTGCCTAGTTTGACCCCCCCCCTTTTTTAAATCATGGATCCTCATTTGGTACCCACATTATTCGAGTTTCGTTTAGGAATGCGAAAGCTATTAACGCATTTTTTTTATTTCTTGGTAATGTATGCACGATTCGCCTTCTGCGAAAATGCCAAGCTAAAGGATGATAGTTTGAATTAGAAAAATAGTGGCAGTGGGGAAACTAAATTCTGATGAAAAAAAAAAAACGATCTTAAAATACAAGACTTGGTTTTCTTCTTTAGGACAGTCGAATATCTTTCTCTGTGTATTCAAGTCATGCTATAGTTCCATTATCCGGTTTACAATATCCAGTTAATTTTGCTACGCCATATTATCTTGATTGTTATTTGTAGTCATTCTTTTGAGCATGTTTTTAATTTCACCTCATCTTTTTTCGCCTTAATTGTGACTCAATCCGTAAATCTCTTTCCCCCCTGATTATGACACTAAAATCAAATCTATCAAAATTAAAGTTGATGTTGAAATTAGATCTATGTGCATAACTATCAAATTTAGGATCAAATATCATTTCCAAAATATGATCATTCTTCCTTTCAGAAATAATAATAATAAAAAATCACCTGTAATCTTAATAAAATTCAAAACATTAATGCAAAATTATATTCATACTAATTATTGAAAACATTACTAACTAATCTAATATGCAAATAATTGCGAATTCTTATTCATATATAGATTTAACCTGTATAAATACTAGTCAACGAATTATTAACTATGGGTGTGACAGCTAGAGACAATAAAAAGTAATTCAGCTACCTTCTCATCAGTCATGGGGATTTCTGAGATTTGTCACCAAGATTTGACGCATCTAAAAACCACAGCCAACGCCCCTCAGAATGACCAGTCTCTTGCACAGATGTTCTTTGACGTGTTACTCATTAATCCGATCAATATTCCTGGATCAATATGTAACATATACAATATATTTGATGTAGTAAAATTAACTGAATAGTAAATCGTGTGTATGTTTTGATGCCACATTTGGATCATTTAGGTGGCGGAAGAGGGTGGAAGTTTGTGCGTGTGAAAATGAAGACTTATGAAAAGGGGGGACATTATGATTTTCGTTATTTTTATCGTGCTATTTCAAAATTCAGAAAAACTTGGCCACTATTTTATACGTTCAATCTCTTTTAAGATTCACCTTTTATTTAAACTCTCAGATTAAACTATTAAAATTCTTGCATCTACCAGGGAAAATAGTATATACTACGCATGTCTCTGTATTACCTTTGTCTTGTGCAATCGTTTCGTAAATGATATTTTTGTAAATTAATTTATCTAGTATGTTATCTTTAAAAACTCTCTTTGTCAAAAATGACATAATTATTTTTTTGATAGCGTTGACATGTGTACTAAAATATATATGTACCAGTTGTAATAAAATTAAACTTATTAATCTTTGTATGCAAATACAGTTTGTTTTCATATTTAAATTCAGTTGGCGACTATATTGAGTTATGTTTCTTAGGCTTCAAAACCATGACATGATTTGACAAGTCGGTTTGTTAGTAAACATTTAAACCACGTGCTCGCTGTGTATTGGCTTTTGTTAACAAGTATACAGGTATATGATTAGAAACGTGTTCACTTAATATCTAAAATTAACTACTCCGGGAAAACATTCACATGTGCATAATTTATTCGTCGTCGTTATTAAAATGATGCGCCATTCGGTCATAGAAACAAAGAGAAGTCAATATAAAGTTCGCCAAAATTAGGTGTCAACTATTATGTAAACTTCCTCGTATATATATAGTATTGTTTTCATGTTAAGATTCAAAATGACGTATTAATAATATTATGACACATATAAATATTTTTAGAAGCATAATACTTTGTATCCGAGACGATATTGCTGTCTGGTTTGTTCTTTTGCGTCATCACTCGAGATTTCGCGGGAATTGGCAGTAGTATACTATAATCAGCTGATCAGCTGAGAAAAAGTTAACTGAATACAAACAAAGCTCCATGATGTTTGAAAATGACGACGACGTATTTTCTCCCAAATTAAATTTTGATGACAATAATAATAACACAAATGGAAGTTTTAAATTTAATGAAGAGGATACCATGCTGGCATTAGCTACAGAAGAATGCATGAAGACTGGGACTTTTATGCCATTGTTGAAGGAAGAACTCAAATGTAAAATTCTGGCCAAATGTCACGAAGAAGGAAAACAGCTAAATATTAAATCGGAACAAAGGATAACAGCTCCAAAGAAAAAGGTATTTTTTTATATTTTCCTTCAAAAAAATATTACAGGATTTTTTAAAGATCTAATATTGCAATAAAAATTTAGTTTATTATAAACATATACTGTGTTGGGTTATATCTATTAATATATATATATTAATATATTTATATACAACGACGTTTCATCATGAGTATTTTTATCATTACATGTACAAACACAAGTGGTGTAATCTGGAAGTTTTAAACTCTGCCAATATCTATATGATTACAGCCTAAACAATATAGGCCCAAATACAATTATTTTGCAATATAAGTTTCCAAAATCAATTATTAGTCCCAACTTATACATGTACCAAGATTTATTGCTCAGAATTAAAAAAAAAATTGGATGCAATGTGGAAAAAAAAATATGGACTGCAGCCAATTTGTCAAATTATCATTTGGACAGAAAAAAAATACATTTCATGTCCAACTTTTTTCTCGCTATTTTCAGTTTAATGCTTTTTTCAAATCTCATTCTCATTGTTATTGCGTTCTTATAGCTTGCAGCCCTTTTTTTTTACTTTACAACCAACGACCATGTGAATAAATCATAATTTCTTGAAATCTTTTTTTTTTTCTTTTTGAACTTCCGTTTAAATTAAATGTTAGTGCATTTGATGCAGCCCGCAAATGCACTAAAATTATATTTAAACGGAAGTAAATGAGTTTGATAAACTTTTCTCAATATACGTCAGTATAAAAATTTGAACTCGGAATTTCGATACAGAATCTATATTATTTTATTTTATCTCATTTATAATATATGTATAATTTCTTTCAGTTTGTTTAAATAACTAATACATCGTTAAAATATTTAAGATTGAAATTTGAAGTTGAATTAATAAGCAATAACGTTATTATATTTTACAGAATATAACAATTAAAATAAAATTGTATCCTCTATTTTGACATAGTCCCCATCAGAACCATTAATTATGTTTAGTTGCATAATTTAATTTCATCTTGTTATTACTATGAATTGTGGTAGATTCCTATGTATACACGTTCTAGCGAGCGTTCTAGTTGTCTTCTCACAGACAATGTAATTTTCAAACAGATTTGGATTTATCATTTTTGGTTGGAAATAAAAATCAGATACATGTACTGTACCGTCAAAAGATTATATTTTGTTGTTTCTGATTAAAATAAATCTGACTATCATAACCGGGAATCACATTTAGTTTGCACTTAGTACGGAAATAAACTGTATCGTGAATGCATTTTTGTATCCGATAATTTGGTATGATGATGCAAGACCGGAAAAATGTGACAATTTGGTAAAATTTAACTGAGTACATGTAAGTAATGAAGAAATATTTCAACACGTCATTTTCGTGCCAGATGTTGCTCGACACATGGTTCTAGAAGAGCAACTCACTATCAAGTTATGTAGGAAAGAATTTACTTTTGATGACGACGAGAATTAACGGACGAATAAAAACTGTTGTATCATTTGTATTTTTAAGGTGCTTGACAAACTACAATTTTCAAAGTTTTCAATAATTGTAATTGATAGAATAAATTTAATAATACTAATATCTTGTAATTTAAGTTCTGAATCTCCAAACGCTGCATTAACATAACCAATAGACAAATAATTATAATTACATAAATAACAAACAGATATTATTTTCTAATTCTTTTGTATTCATGCATGTCAAATATTAAAAAAATCATAATTGTCCTAATAGCGTACCTTAAATTTTATAATTTTCCTGATCTTTGAATATTTGTGGCAAAAACTAAATGAGATAAATTGTAATTTTTTTGCTCTGTGAACAATCATATCAAAATCCACTTTTCTCTGATTTCTTTGAGTGACACATGTATGATCATTATTGTTATTAAAAAATATTTTACTACTTGATGGAAAACTTATACCAAATTAACATTTTCTATCCGCTTCAAAACATCCTATCATCACATGAAATATTAATGTCTATATATTCCCTATTCAATAGCTTCGGTGTGTAAAATTTATATATAGTTTAAATGCAGGTCATTTGCAATAGAAACAAAACGAATACAGAAAAAAACCAGCTAATTCTAGTTATATGTTCACTTACTTCCATTAATTCAGGGTTAAAATTATTCCATCGTGTCTTTTTGTGTCATATTTCTGTTTTTAGCTGCTAATACACATGTAATATTTGTCACTGAACGTCTCTCATACAACATGCTGTCAATTCTTGAAGGAAGTCGACGTTATAGACAAGCAGATTGACTGCAGATATGGTTAACTTCGAAGATTTAAATATAACCACAATAGATTTCCAATTATCCTCTATGAAAATAAATCGTCCTGCGATCGTCCGTCCCAGCTTGCCTATCCCAGCTTCGCCCCATGACCATTTATCATATAAGAGAAGGATTGCGAATGCAAAACCGGGAGTGTATTTAACCAGTTAATTAGCAATCAACCACTTCTGTACTTTCCTGAAGACTCCTTATAATATCACATAATAATTGTCAAATTAGCAAATGTTGAACTCCATTGGCATTTCAATTCTAGTTCATGACATTGTGTAAAAATTTCAAAACGGATACACGAACAAACGAATAAAGGCCTAGCTCAGCGAATTTGTAGTTTTCAAGTTCAATCACAGGTTGCCTTATAAATACGTCACTCAATGTCAGTGGGTGCCTTTCACGTTAACCACAGAATGTTGAATTCTACACTTAGCATATGTATGTTTCTATAAGGCAGGTGTTAGAATGATCTGTTCCTTTATACCATTCGGGTGACTCCTTTTCTGTTGGTCCTGAAATTCTAAAATCCTTGTTGTGAGAAGAAGGAAGATTTTTCAGGAAAATACATAGTGATGTCATTTCGATCTAGCCATAACAGGGAAAAATATCTAGAATTATTTCCCGTGTGGAATTGTTTCAACCAATTAAAAGTCATTTATCAAAAAAAGAAAAAGAAATAAATTTGTTCATGGTTTAAGGGTTTGCATCGTGTTTATAAAATAGAGAATGAGCCAAAAATAAAGAATAGAGGGAGACAACAGGCAAAAGATTAAAGAAGAGAGAGAGAAAATATGCAAAAGAATAAAGAATAGAGAGAGAAAATAGGAAAAAGAATAAAGAAGAGAGAGAGCGACAATAGGCAAAAGAATAAAGGATTAGAGAGAGGAAATAGACAAAAGAATAAAGAACAGAGAGAGAAAATAGGCAAAAGAATAAAGAAGAGAGAGAGAGCGACAATAGGCAAAAGAATAAGGAATTAGAGAGAGGAAATAGGCAAATGGATAAAGAACAGAGAGAGAATATAGGAAAAAGAATAAAGAATAGAGAGAAAATAGGAAAAGGAAAGAAGAAGAGAGAGAGAGAGAGAGACAATAAGCAAAAGAATAAAGAATTAGAGAGGGAATAAAGAACAGAGAGAGAAAATAGGCAAAAGAATAAAGAATAATGGGGTTCTAAATCGCAAAGCATCAAGATTAATCGTCAAAATAAATAAATCATTTAGAGAAAATGGTATAAAGTTAAAGAATTAAGAATTAAGAATGAATAAGCCCCAACCCTTTAACCCTCTGGTATTCGTTGTATGTTGTGTCATGTCTTCAACCGATAGGATAAAGTTATACAATTATAATGAATTGTCTCCTTTGGGATAAAAAAAATATTAAATCCAAATATGACTTGAAAGTAATGTCATATCTTTGACGAAATATATGTCAATGGCTGGTAGTTAGGTTTATGACGGTAGTGTTATCCTGTGTAATTTTGTAGAGCAAATTTTCCTTTAATTTATATCACTTCTAGTTCATTTAAAAGTCTTTTTAGGTTGATCAATCTAATCATGGAAATCTAATACTTCCATGATCTAATTAAAATATAGATCTCTGATTTCGTTATGCTTCGACGAGCACGCGAGTTCAGATCTGAATTTTCATCAGATCGGAGGTTCTCTGTCCCATTTCCCCCAACATGTCCCAAGATTGTATCAATACTTAAAGGTGTGCCGAAAACTGCAAGTTTGATAGATTTTGGCATTGTTTTAATGCCCTCACGAAATGAAATGAGGCAGTTTCAATTGAAAACAAAATTTTAACAGATTACTTTTCGTATAAAAACTGAACCATTGTCAAAGCAAAATTTTACAAAAACTTGTATAATTGTATATCAAAACAGTCTTGAACAGCCATGTATATATATAGAGAGAGAGATAGAGAAAATTCCGCTAATTTTCATTATTTTTCGATTTTGACCCTTTGACAAAAACAAAAGCAGGAAAAATTGACAATTCCTCTTTCAGAATATATCTATAATAATCTTGAAATTTCGAATGTACCAAATGGAAAATAAGACAGTTGTATAAAATGTTGACGAAGTCTCACGAAAGTCTGGTAAAAAAATTATTGGCATACGACTTTATATATAACGATGAATATTCAAAGCTTGGATCATGGACAAAATTTCTGCATTCCTGTGGATTGTGATCAAAATAAGAGCTCCCGGTGCTTTAGACGCTTGATTTATTTAAAGGCGAAAAGGGGGTTTATTTCTGAGGTTAACATCCTGATCCAGTCTTTAATCTAGGTCAATCAACAGTGTTTGATAACGTTCAGTGGGAAATAGTTCTCAATAGACTAAATAGTGGAGTTCTACAGAGTGGTTCAACTTGGATGAAAGCGGAAAATTTAGACTGCAACTGGAAAAAGAGTATCATATGCTACATAGGGACCTTTTGATATTTCTTAAAGGGTTCTTTAAAGTTCAAAGAGCGTTGAAATAATCTCCTAACACGTTGCATTGGACGTCCTCATTCCGACCAGACTTAGTTGTGCATATATATATATACCGCGCAGCTAAACTGATCATGAAGTCCCTCTTTGAACATGGGTTTTACTGTCAGACTCTAGAGGCTATATCCCCTAGTGTGACTGCCGAACAGTGAGTTATGTCTCTGTTGGTGAATGGGTGAAAGAAGTTTGTTTTTCTACGTATTTACATCATTTTTAGTTGAACTTTTCTGACTTAGGGTGTATTATAAACTTAACAAACCTGGGCAAACTTGATCATTAAAAACGAAAAAATAAAGATGTGAAATTAATTAGAAATTAAAAGATTTCAATCTTTTTTACCAGTATTCTCAAAATAAAGCTTACCCGTCTTGCATTGCTGTTGAAGACAATATTGTAAATGCTACATGTCTTTTAAAATTTGTATTGAAGGCCAATCGGAATCAATATCAATTAATTTGTAATTAAGAGAAGATTTTTTTTTTTTTTTTAGATAAATACTATATTTTGCAAACATATCAACGTTTAGTTAGAAACAAATTGTAACAAATCGTGTGTGAGTTTAAGTAAAGGTGAAACATGTTCAAAAAAGATTTCTTTGATTTTATTTGATTATATAAATGACGGACATGACTGGTCATTCTGTAGGGTGAGCAACGCATGTCCGCTTTATTTGATATTGAAATCAAATGAAAATAAAAGTTAATGAATTTGGTGCGTCTGAATTAAGCGCTTTTCTGAATTTACCTTCATCGGGAAAGCATCAAAACCAAAAGAGAAAAGGTCTTCGATATCAATTCCTTTGTTAACAAATAATTTATGTATTAATAAATCTGATGCACAAGATGCGCAGTAAATATTTATAAAATATGATTTGGTTTTATTTGCATATTTAAAAAAAGACTGTCGTCAGAGTATACCGAGGTAAATCCGACATTTTAAGGATTTATCTATAAGTATGTAAGGTTTCTGTAGGGTTTGTTAGTACTCAAGTGGTCGGAGTTTTGAACAGTTAACGATATGATCAAAGATAAATTTACATTTATGGTTGAATTGAATTGGGGTGGGGCTTGTATTTATAGATTTTACACGGGTGACAGCCAGAGTGTTGTGTTATTATCATGTCAAAATTTGAAGTTTAAATAATTATTATCGCTAGGTTGGTTTACAACTCTTACAAATCTTTTATTTCGTATCTAAACAATTAGTAATCTATCTGTCAAATCGCGTGATAATATAGTAAATAACCAGTAGTGAATTCATTGGCCAATGATCAATAAAAATCATTATTTTCGTACCCATGTGTGTGACCCGATTAACTGTCAAAACTTTGTACCGAAGACGACTTGCATTATTATAGTACAGTAACTCGATTTTTAAATTATGTATTTAAATTATATATTTTGATTTACAAACACATGAGTCATTATCGATCTTTGAAGGCTAAAAATAAAAACAAAGAGAGATTTCAGTGCATAGCTGACAGGACAGTAGGAGTTATCTGTGATATGACTTCATTTGCGCATTTATCTAGGGTGGTGGCCCAAGTTTGCTACCTTTTTAAGCTTATAGTGTCTTGCCTTTGAAGCTTTTTAATTTTGTTATATTAGAAGTTACACACACACATATATATATATAGCATTTCAAATTAAAATTGATTTATCCACAAATATATCTCAAAAACTTCGGGAAACAGAACAAAAGCCAATTAATTCCCTTTTATTTATATATATTTTTTTCATTCCCTGGAAATTTAAATATACCAGGATTTATTAAAAAAGAGATAGCCTCTGAGCGATTTTTTACATAATTATGGTAACAGGTAGTATAGGTTTTACAGATGTTTGTAAATATTTAGTTCTTAGTTATAATTTTCTTGTTCGATTTATGTGCTATCGAAATTTTTAAAAGAAATTGAAATTGTTTTTAGTCTCATATTTTTTTTTACATATAATAGAATATTTTGTTTATTAGAAGCTCACAGTTTGATATTAATTAATATTTTCTTTTAATTGAAAAAAGGTTGTTTCTATATATATGGGGTTTTCGTTATATGTGAGTTTTAATATCGTTTCAAACGACGATTTTAGCCATGTCTTGAGTCTCTTTTTTTTTGTCGGACTCTATTTTGTTATTTTTCTAGCTGTAGAATATCCCAGTTAAATCGCCATAATCGACCAATCAACTATTTAAGCTTATGCATTGAGCTTAATAAAAAAAAAACATCAAAACAAAAGTAATGATTTGAAATGAGAGTAATTTTCATATGGTCATCAAGGGCCCTTAATTGAATAAACATTCTTTATCCTATCTATATTCTATGGTCATTGATGGATATATTATTGTAACGATAACAATTTATTCAGACTGTAATCCATTAGTTTTTTCAAAATTAAATTTTGATTTCAAATATGATTCTATGAATAAATATGCACGTAAGTTTACAACTACATAAACACGATAAGTGTACCAACACTTTCGTAAATCAGACTAAAATGTGCTTTACCGGTATTGCAGTGCTATTTTTTAAACAACATAGTCCACAATGTTTTATTACAAATAATGATTTTGAGATGGAAATTGAAAACAAATAAAATGACTGGAACTTTTTAACTGTTAAAATGAATATTAAAAATGATATTAATTTCAATACTTGGAGTGATCCAATAATTGATTTGTGTAAATACTCTACCCCTTCACTGAGTGTACTGATTGACACCAATATGTGATGTTTATTACAAGTAAGATTTGTTATGCCCCCGCCGTAGCGGAGGGGGGCATTAAGTTTTACCCTTGTCCGTCCGTACGTCCCAAAGTTGGTTTCCGTTCTCTAACTTTAGTTTTCCTCAACCAAATGTTATGAAACTTATACACAATGATTATTATATTACCACAAAACACAGATCAAGTTTGAATTTTGGTGGCGTCACTTTAACTGTTCTGGAGTTCTGCTCCTTTAAAAATGGAAAAATTGCTGATTTTTTCGTTTCCGTTCTCTAACTTAAGTAAGCCTCAACCAAATGTTATGAAACTTATACACAATGCTTATTACCACAAAATACAGATCAAGTTTGAATTTCGGTGGTGTCACTTTTACTGTTCTAGAGTAATGCCCCTTTACAAATGGAAAAATTGCTGAATTTTTCGTTTCTGTTCTCTAATTTAAGTTTGCCTCAACCAAATGTTATGAAATTTATACACAATACTTATTACCACAAAACTCAGATAAAGTACAAATTTGGGTAGCGTCACTTTTAAACTGTTTATAACTGTATATGATATGCAAGCGGGGGCATCATCTGTGTCCCATGGACACATTCTGCATTTATTTTTCAATTATACGATTATCATTCTTATGTCGCAGCTCAACTATTTCAGACTGGTTACCAAGTTTCTATAATTACATTTTCAGCTTCAACCAGACGAAGAAAAGAAATTAGAAAAACGGAGAGAACAGAACAGAAGAGCAGCGAAAAAGTTCCGGGAAAGAAAACGAAGTGATACGGACAGACTTGAACAGGTAAGTTCACACCAATTCTTTATTCTTAATTTGTTTTATTTAATCATGGAAGTATTATATTGACTGTCAATATAATACTTCCATGATTTAATGAACGCAATCATTTAAGTTCTCTTTTCATTTGAAAAGCATAGGAGATAATTTTGATATGATAACATTGATTTTTTTTGCCACGACTTTTTGTATGTGTGGGGTTTTTTTGATGGGGGGTCTTGTTTTTTTTTTTTGCGCAGTTTGGGAGTTACTTTGACGTTAATTATAAAGGTTGTTAGGATTTGATGTTTAGTACACTAAGAAAAAAATTGCTCTGATTGATTTTATGCAATTTAAAAAAAAAGCCCTCGTCCTATTTTGACCATTGTTTGAATTATACGTGGTTTGAAAAATACGATACTTGTTTAATAAGGAGACAATTTCACAGGTTGTTAAATAATTCAACTTTTCTCTGGTTGATTTTCAAAAATTTCAACGCAATATAGAAATTAACGGAAATTGACGGAAACAGTTTTTTTTTCTGTTTTGACAACTTCTTGAATGAAGTTTTACAGTTGAGGGATTTCATTGATAGAGTAAGGGGCGGTAGGGGGTTGTACTTGATATCATTATGACGGATTCATCGAATGACATTCGAGTTGTTAGTGATATATTATCCAATAAGATGGAGCATCTATTTTAATTTGATTTGTTGTTTGTGAGTTATAGAAGTCAACTTTCATATTCTTTAAATTCACAGAAATAATAATGATGGGCGTATCAAGCAGTTGTGGCAGTGCTGTTATACTATGGTTCTTTTTTTCGACTTTACTGATGTTTTAAATGTAGACCTGGTAGTAATTATGACATTGTTTAGCTTTGGTTATGTTTTTTTTTGCGGGATTTCTTTGTTTGGTTGTTTTATTTTTGTTTTTTATGTGTTTTTTTTTTTTTGTTACCGAGGGGGTCAATGAAAATAAATAGACAATTTCAACTACTAATAAGATTCTACCCGTTAACATGAAAACTAGTTTAAAAGCCCTGTGTCTTATATATCTAATGGACATGTCAAGACCCTTGTTGCTGACTGGTATAGAACGGTCGTTAGTGCATTCATTAAGTAATCGCATTACGCCTGAATTTAAATATCCATTAGATATATAGTTAGAATTTAATCATAAATGAAAAAGGGAATTTTGTGAAAGCTTGTCTCGTTTTATGTTATATTTGGTTTTATTAGGTTACAATTATAATTCTGGAACTATGAACTGTATTGAAAACATTATAAATTAAAAAGCTCTTAATTCATACTTCATTACACATACGTTTGAGGAGAAGTCAGCCCGAAGGAGTTGTAAGATTTTTAAGAAATTATATTCAATTACCGGTAGTTAAATCTTTCCGATTATAGATTGAATTACATTTTACTGTGATTAGCTAAAAGTGAAGTTTTTATGTATATAAAAAGTAAGTTAAAGTTTCACTTTATGATTTGGTTTAATTTGAACGCACTAAATTTTTTCAAGTGTTATATCCATTTGACTTACACATGGCATTTTATTTTATCATCCCGTCAGGATAATGAAACGGTATTCAATGTTGTGGTCCAGGCACAATCGAGTCTACTCCCTTCCTTCTGTTCCACCATTGTATACTTGTATCTTCAAGTATTCCAGTATTTATACATCCTTGGCTTTCAAATTTTTGGTTTTAGCGTTCCTCGTGGAGGTAAATCAGGGGCGGATTCAGGCGGGGCGTAGCGGGCGTGCGCCCCCTAAAATTTGCAAAGCATGGGTTGTCCTCAGCTTAATAAAGAATATTTTGATAATTTTACCTCAAAAAATTTTTCGCCTAAATTGAAGTTTGCGCACCCCCCCCCCCCCCCACTCCCCCCCCCCCCCCCAACCTAAAATCCTGGATCCGCTCCTGTAAATCCAGAAAAGCATCGGACGCACGAATTATACAAACATCATTTTCATTTGTTGAATTCTTCTTTGTTGTTTTTAGGCGACAACAGAATTAGAAGTGCTTAATCACGAATTACGAGATGAAATAAGAAGACTGTCTACAGAGTACCGTGAATTGCATGTATTATTGACAACCCACTCATGCGTGGTAGATAATACTCCTTCAGTGTACGGCGAATTGGGAACCTGAGACGCCATCTACTGATAATGATCGTACAGTCACTACGACATGACTGTTTACAAGACAGATACAATAGTCTAAAGATGATCTGATGAACTTGCCAATAAACTCCACAATGACTCGATGATCTAAACAATTTAACAACAATAGATTTTGTTATGAATTACAAAATACCTGCCAATTTGAAACTTTTGACAAGATATTGACAAGATAGATTTGTTTTATTCTCCACAGATTAAAATCAATAACATTTGTCACGTGATCAATAACATTTATCACGTGGAGGGAGTAATCTACAAAAGTAATTATTTATTGTTATACATATATGTGTGTACATGATATGTGTTGTTCTATTTGTTACTTAATTGATCTCAATTGTAAATTACTGAAATTTATTTTCATATTAAAAGTTTTAGTGTTAGAATTTCAATGTGTTCAGATGCGTTTGATTATGTATGAACTGAATACGTACCGCAATCATGGACGTATTATATTGACAATATAATACTTCCATGGTACAATTATGAAGAACAGCATCATCAAATTAGAATAAATTAAAATAAAATAACACACAAACAATGTAATCGAGAGCCCCCTGTCCTGTTACGTCACCACAGCGTTTTGACAGCAAAAAGAAACTAATTATATATATTAATAAGATGATGCCATATGTTGCCAATGAAACAACTATCCACCAGACGTAGATGTAAGCTAAAGGTCCTCGTACAAAGTTCATCGTACAGCCTTCAACAATGATTAACACCCATACCATCTAGTCGGCTTAAAAGGCCCCCACATGACAAATTCAAACGAGAAAACCAATAATCTATGACAAAACAAGAAACGAAAAGCTTTTATCATAGACAGCAGCCGACAACAACCACTGAATTACACTCTACTTGCTTTAAACAAAAACTTAAAGAATAGGACACGGTTAAACATGTTTTTGAGCGCTCTACCCTACCTCAATCTGGGACAGTGTTGTAACAGCACAACATAAGAACAAACTAAAAATTAAGTTGGTAATCGATTAATTCGTCAGATTGGCACGAAGCACAAAAGAAAACATAAAATACCACCTGAGAGTACTTGCAGTTACTGAAAGCTAGTTCAAAGCCAATTACAAGTAATAATTAAATCCTGTTATCCCAGACTAATGTATTAATCATTACACATTCAACAGATTTTGGTAAAAAAAAAAAAAAGACGTCATAAACAGTCTGAGAAAATCATGACCTTGTGCAATGCCAAAATATAAGTACATAGTATCAACAGGATATTTAATAACTGTATAACAAAACATATTCTGTTTTTTAATTAATCAAAACCTAAATAAAACAATATTCATAAAAGTCTTACTACTGTATAAAAGTCTTACTACTGTATATAAAGTTGATAATAGAGTAGAGAATGGAAACGGGGAATGTTTCATAAAGACAACAACCGGCCAAACAGCAGAAAACACCCCCACTGCCAACAATGGGTCTGCAATGCAGCGAAAGCGGGCTTCAGCTTGCCCAAAATGAACCAAAATAAAAAAAAAAAAACTATGGCTAGAGGTTCTTAACTTGGGACAGGCGCATAATGAAATAGCTAGGTTTTGTGGGATCCCCTCCCCCTATATCTAGCCAATGTGTAATAAACAAACGCACATCAATACGCACAGTAACATTCATGTTAAAAAGAAGTCCGAGAATAGGTAACAGAAGAAACAGAAGAAACTAAACAAAATGAAAATGATGAACATGAATTTACAATTAAAAAACTACTAGCAGTTACTGACATGCCAGCTCCAGACCTCAATTAAACTGATCGAAAGATTTGTCTTCATCATATGATGTTAACCATACTCCCTCCCGTTAGGGGTTTAGTAGCATGCCATCATAAATTATACGAGAAGAACACAACCCGTGTCATGCCAACAACTGGTTTTAGAATAAATGTGCTTATTTCCGATGCAAATACCCTCTAAATTTATTCAAAAGATAGTGAGTTTACATGGATCGTATCTAAACTAGGGCATTATAAACAACATCACAATAAACATTAGGACGTGATATCTTGCTAGTGATAATAATTATTTAGGTATACTCAAACATTCAAACCAAATATGTGTATTATCTATGAAAAAATTTAGTAAAAGGCTTAAAGTCATATGAAATGACTTTCTTCAAATTTAAATGTTATCGAAATTATTGAACCAATGCATGCTTGATCTAGATTATCTTCTGATAATACTGTAAGGTCAACAGTGAACGGGAGAGCTTTTTCGCTTTCCTTTTCCTGTGACATTACATGAAAAACCCAAAGCCTCATTTATCTGGTTACATGAACAAAGCCAAAGTGTGGTATACAATATGTAGGACAAACAGGACGGGAGTTTTTTAAACGAACACACTTACCGTTATCTTGATGATATTTTTTTGTTAAATAATCAAGAATTTTCTCAATATACTGCCGAAATTTACCCAAAGGAACTTACTTTAAATAAATCAAATTTAAACGGTAATAACTGTCCTTTCCTAGATTTAGATATTTTGGTTTTACACGGGAAAGTCCACACTAAAATTTAGGACAAAAGGGACGATTTTTCGTTCCCTATTGTTAATTTTCCCTTTTTGGATGGTGATGTTCCTTTGGCACCATCTTACGGTGTTTATATTTCATAACGCGTTCGCTATGCCCGTGTCTGTTGTGACGTTTTTGATTTTAACGAACGTAATCTATGTATTACTGGTAAATTATTAAGCCAGGGATTTCGTTACCACAAATTACTTAAAACCTTTACTAAATTCTTCCACAGATATAAAGATTTGGTTTTGAAGTTTTGTTGTACCTGTAGAAAACTTATTTCAAACGGGATTGCACATCCTCATTTTTACGGCAATATTGTTTACCGTGCCCGGAAATTTAGAAACGATCCTGGTAAACTTATCGATCCTTTAAATAAACTTATTCTAAAAGGTTACCAATTCAACACTGTAATTAGATCATTAAATATTGTTTTTATTGGTACTAATATTGATTTTGTTATTAGTAAATTAAAAGCAAACTAAATATTATTGTTATATACATATACACATTCATGGATCTACAATCTATCGATACCTGTATCTGGGCATTGCACAAGGTCATGTTTTTCTCTGACTGTTTATGACGTCTTTACACTAAATCCATTGGATGTTGGATGTGTACGGATTGATAATTTAGTCTTAGATGCATGATTTTTTTTTATTAGTTGTTAGTGGCTTTGAACTAGCTGTCAGTAACTGCGAGTACTGTCAGATCTGTACCTAGTGTCTTTTTTGTTGTTTGGATGTACAAGTACCCGGCCACGTCCACTTGTATTTGTATTATTTGTATTTTTATTCATATGTTGAGTTAAGCCTCTTTCAACTGATTTTTATAGTTTGTTCTTATGTTGTACTGTTACACCACTGTCCCAGGTTAGGGGTAGGGTTGGGATCCCGCTAACATGTTTAACCCCGCCACATTCTGTATGTATGTTCCTGTCCCAAGTCAGGAGCCTGTAATTCAGTGGTTGTCGTTTGTTTATGTGTTACATATTTGTTTTTCGTTCATTTTTTGTACATAAATTAGGCCGTTAGTTTTCTCGTTTGAATTGTTTTACATTGTCATTTCGGGGCCTTTTATAGCTGACTGTGCGGTATGGGCTTAGCTCATTGTTGAAGGCCGTACGGTGACCTATAGTTGTTAATTTCTGTGTCATTTGGTCTCTTGTGGAGAGTTGTCTCATTGGCAATCATACCACATCTTCTTTTTTATATATATTATATACTTAACTAAGTCTTGCATGCATGTTTTTATGCCCCGCCTACGATAGTAGTAGGGGCATTATGTTTTCTGGTCTGTGCGTCCGTTCGTTCGTTCGTCCGTCAAAATTACTTTAAAATGGTCAGATCAAATCAATCAGAATTTATGAACCATTGCTTAGAAATTTATGTTTTAGTAAATACTGTATGTTTTGTTAACCCTATATGCACCTTGGCGTTTCATTGGGCATAATTTGTGCTAAATAATACTTGAAAAAGGCACCCGTTTTATTATACTGGTACCCTGTATACGGAGAGGTCTCCTGGAATACATTAAGAATCTATCAAAAGGAAGCAGTCTCTAATTTCGTCCCACAGTTTGAGATTGTTGCGGTGCAAATTAAGCGTATACTGTCGACCTGTATATACCGTGGAGCTACCATTAAAGAAAATAAAGTATTGTCCAATTCTAGGGTGATACCGACCACATAGCATAAATTCATTTTGTCAAAATTAAGAATTTTTTATTTTGTAAATACATTTTGTTCGTTCGAACAAACTCACCTCGCAAAAAAAGTTAAAATTATATATTACGTTATTTAACGTTAAATCTATTAAATATATGTTATTGTAACTATTGCCTGGTTTCAAGCCTTACTGAGTCACTGTTTTTCAACTATCGTTGGCCCATGATAAGATACTACATTGATAATATCTATACGAACCGTGTTTCTTTTTCCGTATCATTATGACAAGTGTATTTATTACAAGACAATGATAACCTTGGTTTATCTAATTCTTATCAATTGACATAGTTCTTCGTTTCAGAAAGGGTTTATAATATGAACCTAATACGTCTATATTATTATATCTCTTAGACATCGTGCTGAAGCAAGCAGCCACTATTCAAACGTGTCTAAAATCCCGTAAGAGAAATAAATTTTTAGCTATATTCTGCTTGTATACAAACATATGGTTTTAAGTTAATACTAAAAAAGTAAAAAGGTACTATTGGGCGAAATCAGAAACCATATGTCGAACCGAAACTAACAACACAGTGGCCAAAAATAAAGAAAGCAGACAAGCAAGTCAGTCAGGCCATGAAACACAGAAAACTAATGATTGACACCAACGAAAGGATATTATATATATATATATATATAAAATGAGGACATGTGGTATGATTGCAAATGAGACACCTATCCAACAGGGTTAAAATGAAGTTAAAGTAAGCCATTAAAGGCATCCATACGGCCTTCAACAATGAGAAAAACCCATACCGTATAATCGACTATAAATTAAAAATGTGAAACAATTCAAACGAGAAAACTAGCGGCCTATAACTTATAACAAATCAATTAAAGAAACAGCATTGTACAAATTGTATCCTCAATTCCTTGTCCTATTTTCGATAAATTTACGCCTGACCCCTTCATAATTCGGTTGTTTCAACCTAAACGATGTCGAGCGAAATTTATCGTGACCTCGTTGTTAACACAATGTCATTGTCTTATATATGAATGGCGTTTGTCACAAGTATAAAGATAAATTGTATCAACGATGTAAATTCGCGTGATTAAGTTATTGGTAGTGGCATAAGTCTTTATTGTTGACTAGGCAGCATAACTCTATATTTCCAGTTTCTATCACATGTATTCATCTATTGCAATGTTAGTTTTCGCTTTTGTACTCACGGGCTTATATATAAAGAAGACGTGGGTTCGTAACCCGTAATATAGTGGTGTAGCTAGGCATGAATGGAATGGAAGTAAGGTTTTTACTAGAATTGTCCAAGGTCCCTATATGTTGTCAAGAATAGGACCAGATTGTTATGCCACTTCTTAAGCACCTGATTTACAGGCAATTTAAGCCGCTAGGATTCAATCCCATATCAAGAAACTTTATGGCGACAAAACATACCTGTCCCCATTTTCCAACATTTATTTGATATTCAAACTTTGTTGACCATCCTATCGTTTCACCTACTTTTTCGGATTTGTATTTCATGGTCCTTGTTCTGAATACTATTATGCATGAAATATTTACCGCTGTAGCTATACGAACACCACTCATAATGACTCATTCATAATAACTTGTTAAGTTATTTTTAAGGCTGTTGTATTAAGTTTCAGTTATCACAATGATATGTTCGTAATACAAGTTTAATCGAATACCACTAAAGTTTTTTTAGTACAATATAGATTATATATAACCGGAAGAAAGTGCTTTAGATGAAATCTCGTTTTAAATTGAATATTTCTATGAACTCTCATTTTAGATTGCATATTCAATCTAAAACGAGAGTTCATCTAAAGCACTTTGCGAATTATAGTAAAAGTTCCTAGCGTCACTTTTCTTCCGGTTATATATATTCAAAGCGCATTCCTTGTCTGCAGAATAGATGTCAATGGCTACGACTATGATTTCATCTGCCATCTAAAGAAGGAACGGTTGGAACTTTGTAGCACAATTTTACCCATGATATACTATTAGTAGTTGTTTATTTCCTCTAAAAACACTTTCGAGTTTTCTTCTCCGACATTTTCAAAAAGGTTTATTGAACGTGTTAAAACATCACTCATATTGTTCGCAATTAGTTCAACAAGTGAAAAAAATGGCAGGATTTTTTTGTTAGAATTTCAGTTAATGAGCAAAATGATTTTGTTATGTTATCATGTGTCAGTCGACTAAAAATGGCGAAAGATATCCTCCTGAAAGGGATATACCAACTCATCAGTCGAAAACGAATTGACAATGTCATGGCAAAAAAAAACGAAAACCGACGAAAAGACAAACAACAGTAAAAATTTCACGTTTACACGTTATCTGTATGTCTGTATATGAAAACCCGACTTTTTTAAATAAAGATTACTTACTTACTTACATGTACCTTATGAAAAACGCATTAAGGAAAAAAAAGACGTTTTCGCACCATTTTTTTTTTACACCAAGCATTAACTGTGGTACCCGAATCAGAACAGTTTTAAGGCCAAATCAATTACGAATTTAAAGAACATTGAAACCAAAAATTCCAAAAATTTGTGTTAAATCTGACTAAGAGGTAAACATTGATTTGAATGATTTGAACGTTTCAAGTGTTAACAGTAAATTTACAGAAACTTGGGCTCTATTGTATCCGTAAATTTCTCATGAAAATAATTTTCTTTTAGATATATTTGTTAATGCATGATTTCTCAGTTTATTCTGTACATGGTTCATTTCTGTAACCAGTATTTTATTATCTAATTCTTTTTAACAGATATTCCTTCATGATTTTTTTTAGTCCCATTATTCTCTATTCTTTATTTTTTTGCTCATTTTTGTCTATTCATTTTTTGTGCCATTATTCTCTATTCTGTAAACCCCATTTAGACCCTCTTTCATATTTTTTATTTTCTTAGTACAATTTCTAGAAGTATAATGATACTGACTACTAATATGTAGAACTTAATTTTTGTTATAGATAGTTCAACATTGAAAAGATTTCCAGACTAGTTAGTTTTTACATATGATTAAATTGAACAAAAAAAAAACAAAAAAAACTGGGATCTTCTGAATGAACGGAGGACTGACGACCATCCAGTATTGCACTGTGACCGTGAAGGGTGTCCCAATAAATGGAGGATCGTATAAAAAGAAACTGGAAAGAGTTCCGAATGTTGCTTTCCCCTTCCAGTTTGACCCCTTATAAATAAAAAAATGTCAGGCTCCATGAAAAAAAGAAAATATTTACATTCAGATTCAGATGAAGAATTTCAATCACCAGAGACAGTAAGCATTATGTGGATTTGATGCTGGATAGCATTTAAAATCTTCCTAGCCAATACACCTTATCGCTATTTGTCCGCCATTACTGGACATCACACAGGTTCCCGTAAAATTTTGACGTCATAATACCAAATGTCTGACGCCACAATGGAAAAGTGATAGTTGTATAACGTCAAAAGTTCGAGTGGGACAGATTCTCGGGTCAAGCGGGATTAGCGATAAGATGTATCACTGAATCAGTGAATAATTTTTTTATGCCAATACTTGTACTGATGTAGGCCAGTTTCCAATTTCTATTTTATGAATGAACTGCCTCTGTTTACCTGGGGTCATTCGCTGAAACATGTGTCACTAGACCTTGTGACATGAATATGTTCAGATCATATGTTTTCGTATGTCATATGAATACACCTTATCGCTATTTGTCTGCCATTACTGGACATCACAAAGGTGCCTGTAAAATTTTGACGTCATAATAGAAAATATCTGACGCCACAATGGAAAAGTGATTGTTGTATGACCTCAATAGTTCAAGTGGCGCAGATTTCCAAATAGCGATAAGGTGTATTTGTACTATGCATGCTTTTTCAATGGAAATATTGTGACGTCACAATGCATTTTTAATAACATGAAAACACATGAATCAAGGATATATTTGCTTTGTGAAGTCAAATTACAAAGTAGAAGAAATTATTCTTGGAAAAAGCATCAGTTGGATGATCAGTTAGCCCCACTGGATGCAATTACGACTGGACAAAATTACGAACGATTTCAATTATTTGCCCACCGAAATTGTATTTATGCATGGTAATTAATAAATGTTTCTAAAAATAAAAATCCCACTTAAATAAATGCTTGTGTTTTCATGATAAAATAACTTGTGTGCACTTGCTGATCGTTGCAGACGACAAAATCATTTTGTAAACATCAAAAGAACGACACTCTCACACGGAAATTACATAAAAAAAAACATTAATGTACGTGCATATTGCATTCTTATGTCAATATTTAGAAAGAAAAATAATTCTTGATTCTATTCATATGAGTGATTCATTTTATCTTGCCTAAATAACCCCAAAATTTATGTTTTTCCCGACTCTCCAGCCATGTATATAAAAATATAGCACTTTTGTTAGGAATTGCGTCCATATATGGCTCACTTGACCCATAAACCGAGGTCACGCAAATCTTAATAAAAAACCGTTTGACATCAAAGCAGACAATGTCTGAAACCTCAAAGGAAGAGTAAATGTTGTTTTGCAAATTCTTGGGTCAAGTGTAGCTGCAGCTCTTTTCACTAAAAAAACTTACAACTGAAATTGATTGTAAGTTTAACGTTAACGATATGTTACAATTATTTGTTTTCATAAGATTTTTTGTGAAAAGATCAGCAGATGCCTACATGTATATAGCAATGAGGTCTAATTCATACAGGCCTCTACAATAACTTTTTTTTCAACCCCAAAACTTACTTGTCCTAATGGAATTGTAACTTGTCAAAAAAAAAACCCTTTATATTAACCTTTTTTGCATTTAAGGTTGATTCAAAGAACAAAATGAATTAAAACAATATAACAGAATTTGATTTATATCTCTTGATATCCTTTTCAAAAATATGAGTTGAGAACAACTGAATCTAGTCATGTCTAGTCACAGGACTTAGGTTCTAGTTTTCATCAATGCCAAAGTCTCATCAGACTCTGCACATCAGGCACAGTCTGGTAGGCCTGTCAGTCTACACTCATTTGGTTTGTATCCTGGTCTTTTATGTTTATAAAATATTGATTATTATGATTAATGTCTTACTACAATCAGCTTTGTTTTTAATATATTAAAATGTTTATTTAAACACAATCAAATATTGTTTTGTCTAAATACGATCAAATATGATTTTTTGAATTGTATGGTCAATAATTTCTTCTTTTCTTTTGAAAATATTTTTGCTAAATAAAATTTATCACATAAAATGACATATAATTATCATAAAGCAACATAATAATGTAGGAAAATGAGGTACTAGTTTGTCTTCGTCCCAAAATGTCTCCAACGGTGTGGAACGGTCTATTAAACATGGAGCTGATTCCTTTCTGTGACGGTGCCGAACTGTCTTGTTACCAGTAAAACTGGTTTCGGAGAAAGCATGCCTTTTATCTGTTATAAAGTATCTGACAAAGAACCAGTTTTAAATTATCAATCGCAAATATAAAAAATTAATATTTGTTTTTATCTTCTTTTCTTGCTTTTAGCTCACCTGGCCTAAAAGGCCACATGAGCTTTTCTCATCATTTGGCGTCCGTCGTCGTCGAAGTCGTCAACTTTTTACATTTTGAACTTCTTCTAGGGAACCACTGAATGGAATGAAACCAAACATTGCATGAATATTCTTTATTAGGTGCTGACCAAGTGTTGTTACTTTGTAGCTGATCCACCATCCAAGATGGCCGCAAGAGGGGGATTTCGTTTAACATAGGACCCTATGGACAATACATACAAATGTCTTCTTTTAGAGAACCACTGAATGGAATAAAACCAAACATGGCATGAATGTTCCTTATGAGGTGCTGACCAAGTGTTGTTACTTTGAAGCCGACCCATCATCCAAGATGGCCTCCAGAGAGGGACTATGTTTAACATAGGACCCTATGGGATATACATACAAATGTCTTTCTTTAGAGAACCACTTAATGGAATGAAATAAAACATGGCATGAATGTTCCTTATGAGGTGCTGACCAAGTGCTGTAACTTTGTAGGCGATCAATCATCCTAGATGGCCGCCAGAGGGACTATGTTTAACATAGGACTCTATGGGAAATACATACAAATGTTTTCTTTTAGAGAACCACTGAATGGAATGAAACCAAACATGGCATGAATGTTCCTAATGAGGTGCTGACCAAGTGTTGTTACTTTGTAGCAGAACCATCATCCAAGATGGCCACCAGCAGGGGACTTAGTTTAACATAAGACCCTATGGGAAATACATATAAATGCTTCTTCTAGAGGAGCACTGAATGGAATGAAACCAATCATGGCCTCAATCATTATTAGGGTATCTGTTGTGATTTTAATCTATTTTAACATGATTTCCAAAACCAAAGTAGAATCAGGTGAGTGACACAGGCTCTTGAGAGCTCTAGTTTGTTTATTACTTTGATCATCAAAGTTGGATTTAATTTATTTTCTTACTTGTCCCGTCGGACAAGCTTGATATGGCTTTTACTTGTCCGACCATTTTTTCCTCTGGTATCGGACAAGCATTTTTGTCGAGCCCTGTCATACCTAAAAATGTTATTAAATTTCAAAATGATTTAGAATGAAGGAATGTATCTTCCTCATGCAAAGATCTGATTCCTTCTTCTTCCTTTATAGTGCAGTACTCCCATGGGAGTATTATTGTACTGTTTTATGTACATGTTCAATGTGAGAACAACAAATGTGCGGTTATGTGCAAAATTATCTACAGTAAACTCTTAAATACATTAAAATCATGGTTGAACATTTATCGAAGCTGGACCTCTTGCACACCCCTTTTTGAATGATTCAGGGGTTGTGCAACTTACTATATATATAGCTAGTTGTTGAGGCAGTCCATACCAGATTCTGATAGTGTCTGGGAAAAAAGAGTAACAATATACTTGAGTCCTGGCAAAAGGAATGAGGAATGGTTCTTTGTGTCCCTTACTATTGATGTTACTTGCTGTAAATTTGTAGATGGTATATATGGCAATCAGTTCGTGTACTACTCTATAAACATTATGACTTTACATTGTGCTCTCCTTTCCTGTAGTGTCTTCCAATTTAGTGCATGTGGCATTGATGTTATGCTGCTACTTCTTCTATAATCATTTGATACAAATCGTGTGCATCAGCATTGTATATTATCCTTAGTCACAGGATCCCAGATGGTGTTAGTGTATTCCATGAGTGGTATTACAAGCCTTTAATAACAAGGCTTTAGTTTTACGAGGACAGTTTTTTATGTTTCTTTGAAGAAAAGTCCGGGTGGAATTAGCTTTCTTTGCGATGTTATCAATATGTTTGTTCCAACTTAATGATTTATGTATGGAGACGTCAAGATATTTTGCAGACTCAACCTCTTCTATAATATGGATGTGGATGCTGTAGTTTACCTTAACTGTGTTCCGTTTTGTTGTTACTCTTTGGAGTTGACATTTTTGGGGTTGTAATTCTATCTGCCAGTCTGCGTCCCATTGTTGCAATCCATTCAGGTCATTTTGAAGGGAGTTCTCATCTCTATCATTTCTTCTTTGATGTTTCTTATTTGATGGTAGAAGACACAGTCATCTGTGATGATGACACATACTCTGGGAGTTCATTTATGAAAACAAGAAACATCAGCATGCTACCTTGTGGGACTCCAGACTGCATTGGAGAGGTTTCTGAAAATTCTCCTTTCCAGGAGTATGCACTGCTGTCTGTCTTCCAGAAAGTTTCTCAGCCATTTTAATGTTGTCCCTCTTACATATATGCCATAATGGTTGATCTAATACAATAGTCGATCATGTGGGACTTTGTCAAAGGCCTTTGAAAAGTCTTAAAGGATAAGATCTATTTGCTCTTTATTGACGATTTTTTTGCCAGGTCCTGAATTGTGAGAATTAGTTGGGATTCACAAGACTGTTCTTTTCTAAAACCAAGTTGAGCATCAGTCAAGATGGAGTGACTTTCTAGGTGTTTGATGATATTGGTACAGATGATATGTTGTAGTACTTTACATAATATAGCAGTTAGTGAGACAGGTCGGTAGTTTGATGCTTGGCTACAATCCCCTTTCTTGAATATTGGGACTACATTTGGATTTTTCCAATCAGGTGGTAATGTGCCTTGGTTGACAGAGCCTTGAAAAAAAGTGGTGATTTGGATATGATATTTCAGGATCGATTGATTTCAATAATCTTTTAGTGATGCTTTATGTATGTTAAGATTTGTCAGTAGGTTATGTATTCCATTTTCCAATATAGTGATTTTTTCAATATGTGGGTATGGTGGTCTTGTCCTCGTTGCTGTTAAATACTGAAGAGAATTGATTATTAAGAATATTTGCCTTCATTTATCAGAGTAGGTGAGTCAGTCTGTGTTTCTAAGTGGCTCAACTCCTACATTTTTCGCATCTTTTACTCTTTAGGAAGCTCCAGAATTTCTTAGGATTAGATTTCTGCTCTGGGCTTATAAATTATAATGTTGTTGATGTATGTAGAATAAGCTTTCTTACATTCTTTTTGTGAGCTCTTTTTGATAGTTTTGTATCTCTTGAAGGCTTTTGTTGTTTTTGATTTTTGTGCTTTTTTATGCCCCCACAACTGAAAGTTAGGGGGCATATTTGTTTTACCCCTGTCCGTCCGTCCCATTATGGGTATATAGTTATTCCAGAAAACCCCTCCTACAGTTTGAATGCTAGGAAGTTTTCACTTTGCTGGCTGTTTGTACATATATTGAAGGTGTGCATGTGGTCAGGGTTTTGATTTTTATTAATATTTACTCTTTTGGTAGATAGTTGAACTTTGTCATGTTTTTGAAAATTTACTTGCATAAGATCATAGTGTTTCCGGATAAATCCTCCTACAGTCTGGATGCTAGGAAGTTTTCACTTTGCTGGCTGTTTGTACATATAATAAAGGTGTGCATGTGGTCAGGGTTTTGATTTTAATTAATATTTGCTCTTTTGGGAGATAGTTGAACTTTGTGTGTAACTTTTTGGAGTATTTACTTGCATAAGAGGTGCATAGAGTTTCCGGATAACTCCTCCTACAGTTTGAATGCTAGGAAGTTTTCACTTTGCTGGCTGTTTGTACATATATTAAAGGTGTGCATGGGTCAGGGTTCTGATTTTATTGATATTTGCTCTTTTGGGAGATAGTTGAACTTTGTCAATTTTGGAGTATATACTTGCATAAGAGCGTTTCCGGATAACTCCTCCTACATGTAGAGTGAACCATAGGACCTATGTGCTCACATGCTCAACTTTGTGTATTATAGAATAACACTTTGCATCTGCGAGGGCATCATCTGTCCCCCAGACAATAATATCTCAAAAGAAAGTCCTACATTGACTTTGTTATTATACAGCTACTTCAGAGTGGAGTGCGGGGGCATCACTTTGTCTAGTTAAAAGCATTCTTTTTCCTCAGTGTGAGACGTTTTATTGTACCAATGATCCAAGGTTGGTGGAATCTTGTTGAAGACATTTTTGATGGTATTTTTTTGTCTTGGAAGTTCTTGGGTCCTGATTTTATGAACTCCCACATCTCTGATATTGAGCTCTGTATGTTGTATAGGCCATGGAATTTTTTGGATAGTTCGTGTGCATCTAACTTCATTACTTTTATGTCTTTTCTTTGTATTGGTTTTGGGTGCATTGCTATGGCATTACTATCAAATAAAGACTTGTTTGTGTTTGGCTTTCTTCCTTAATTTATCAACTCTACAATTTTTGTAATAGGTTTTAGACTTTCAATTTTTTGGCTATGATCATCACAGAAGAAACATTAGTTGTCAAAATGGGTATCTAGTGCAGTAATTGTTATTACTGAAAAAAACCTTTAGGAACAATATAAACATAGGAAGATGTGGTATGATTGCCAATGAGACAACTCTCCACCAGAGACCAAATGATGTAAAAGATTAGCAACTATAGGTCACCATATGGTCTTCAACGATGAGCAAAACCCACACGGCACAAGTCAAATAAAAAAGGCCCAGAAATCACAAATGTAAAACAATTCAACGAAAAAACTAATGGCTTGATTCGTGTAAAAAACAGCAAACAAGTAACAAATATGATATACAGCAACAAACGACAACATCTGAATTACAGGCTGAGACTGGATCCTGTAGCTCATGTAGAATGTGGCGGCCAACCCTTCCAATAAACATAGGACAGTGGTACAACAAAACAACACAAGAACAAACTGTACAAATCAATAATCAAAAAACCAATATGATATACAGCAACAAACGTCAACCACTCAATGACAGGTTATTGACCATTTCGTACCAGGTGGAATATTTATATTTATGTCAATTCATACGTATACCTTATGGACAATAAATATGTGTGTCATTTTGTGCCATATGGAAGATTTATATGCATATTTTAAAACTTTTTGTAACATATGGCTCATTGACGTATACATACTCCACATGTTCCTTTATTCATTCAAATTAAAACTAAAGCACATATGAGATATTAGAATAAGAATATACGAAATGGAGAGTGGTACAATTCTACTTTCATTTGAAATATATAAAACTTTGCATTTAAGATATTAGATTCTAATATTTTCTCTTTTTTAATAATTTCACTCTCAAGATTACCACAATATCTTGTGTAATTTTAAGTGTTGTTTGAAGGGAGAGCAGCTATTAATCTGTAACAGTCTAATCTCTTTGAGAACTCAGATTCTGTTTCGAGCAATTTTCTGATATGGCTGCACACCAAATCCCTTATCATGCTCTAATAACTCTATTTGGGACATTTTTTGAACCAATTTCAATGAAACTTGGAGAGAATGATTCTTAGTATCTAGTATAAAGTTTGTGTTTTTTTATACTGGTTAGTGAACAAACATGTCTGCCTAGGCTAAAAATAGAAATCAAGGGTAAAATGCATCAATTGTCTTACATCTTGAAAACCATATATATTTAAGGAATGACTGTAATATTTTTTCTGTCTATGAAGAAATAACATAAAAAATGTGGTGCACACTGAATAACCCGCGTAGCGGGTTATTTTAAAGTGTACACCACATTTTTTATGTTATTTCGAATAGACAGAAAAAATATTAAAGTCATTCCTTATAATTTAATTCTAAAAAGGAGTAAATCATGATAAAAACGTTGATGACGTCGTGGTCACATGACAAAATTATGTCTATGAGCTGATAGACAAAACACTTTCAGCCAATCAGAAGACTTGTTACATCCAAAATTAAATTATATAGAGATAGAGAAAATCTAACAAGGAAAAATTGTCCAGAATGTCTAGATCTACTTATGATAACTGATAGCAATAAAGGTAAAATGCCATATTTTTATTAGGTGAGCAATGCAGGCTCTTGGGGTAACTCTTGTTTATAATGGCAAACTTGTGTGCATTTTGATTATTTTATTTGAAAGACACATCAATCATTTGCCCCTAACCTTTTAAGCTTTTCAGTTTTTGAAATTAGCAGGCGTTCATATCATTAAATTTAATGCATATGAACCTAAACCAATAGATTTAATTGATTCCTCTGTACTGATTTGAATTGATCTAAAGCTATCACAATCAGTTGTTTCATTGGTTTGAACAAATTGTAATTGATTCAGATGTCTGTTCACAATACACATAGTTTATACAGATGTACATAAAATAGATATCATGTATTATATACTACAACAGATCACCTCAACCTTCTAGATAGACATTCAAACAAAGACAAAGATGAACAACACATGGTCCAGGTAGTTGGACTTAATCATTCTTTTTACCTACACAACAGTCCTTGTGGATTTTGCTTATTCCACCTGCCCACAGTGGACAGCCCACCTGTGCCCACTCTAGCTATATTCTCTTTTTTTTGTGTAAAAATATTGATTTCAAATGCTTATCTGCTTTTTTCAATTGATTGTACTTGCAAGTCTTTCGATTCACAAAAGAAATTGCATGTCCACTCCTATGGGTGGGCAGAGTGGACAAGCTAGAAATTTTGCCCACCTGGTGCCCACTCCCACTGTGGGCGGGTGGACAAAGCAAAATCCACCTGAGCTGTAGTCTAGTTCAATCTTTCAGCATGTGTTCGCAACTATAACGAAGTCGATTTAGGAATACAATAATAATTTATTATGTAAATACCAATTGTTTGAAAGTTCACATATTGTCACACAAACACATAATCGTATAGTATATTTTATATGTATAAGAACAAGAATATACAAATGGAGAATGGTACAATTCTTCCGTCATTTGAAATATATAAATCTTTAAGATATTAATTTCAAATATTATGAATTACCAAAAATATTATACAGCACAACAGATCACCTCAACCTTGTAAATAGATGTTTAAAAACATTGTCCAGGTAGTCTCTCTTAAACACTCTTTTTACCTATTTCAATCTTTCAAGACATATTTCCCATATTATGAATGTGTATAAATACCCTATGGAATGTATGGGTCATAATTCTAACTAAAAAAAATTAAGTTTTCTTCTGTTACATGTATAAGGAAAATGCCATTTGACTACAGTAATATATAAATTCCTGGAAGTGTCACAACTCAGTTACTACTATAGTTATCATGCATGTACTAGTATGGAAGATCTGACCTCTTCTTGTAAAGCTTCTATGATGACCATTGTATCACAAGAACCTTTTGTTTTGTTTTTAGATCACAGCATGGGAGAAAGCCTTCAGAAGTTTTACAAGCTGTAGAAGATTAAATCTACCAACAAAAAGAACAATTTTGATTCACTGGCAAGATTTTACAGAAGGTAAAACTTATTTAGAGGAATAGGAGTTAGGTCATTTCGTCTTAAGAGTAAATAATTTAGCCAGATCAAGTTTTTACCTTGTAAATTTTATTTTTTTGAATTTTTGCGTATCTGTTTAAGAAGACAATATGCTTTAAATTCATCTTAATACTGGTAGATAAAAGGAGGAGTGAGGTAAATGTCATTGATACAGAAACTTAAGAATATTATATTATTCTGTGTTCTCCCCAGAATTTTCAAATAGCACCATGGAAATTAACATAGCATTGGTTTTCCAAAAAATATAGCATCATGGCCCCTATACATTCCATTATAAAATCATCCAAGAAAGCATCATCTTAGAAAATATAGCACCAGGGTACCACGGTGCTTAAAGGCCCAGGGGAGAACTCTGTAAGTTTTCATAAGATCAAATGATGTGTGTAAGTTTGTATAGGACATACAATATATATACATTAGTTGCATTTTTACTGCTCATACCTAAAGATGCATGATACATGTAAATAATAGAATGGTGATTGTTATAATAGAGACTGTTTATTTAACTTTCAGAAAAATCAACAAATCAGCAATATTATTTGGATCCATCAAGTTTTGTTATATTGTGCATTTTTTCCATCATAATTGGTTCACAATGAAATCAACTCTGAGTAGAGAAATAAAAGTACCAACATGCTCAGTGAATCTTATTGTGTTTATGATAAAATTTCAGGTTTTATGAAAAGAGAACCAGAGGAATGTATTTTTAGAACATTACAAGATGAAGGAAAGTTATATTACTCAGGCGATATGTTTGATAGCTGGATATATTTCAGTCCGATTGATTTTAAAGACAAAGAATGGTATAAACAGGTATGTAAAATTCTAACATTGATTGTTTAGAAGTGACTGGATAAAATGCTATAGCTTAAATGTATATAACACATATCTCAGGAACCTGAACTTTAATTGCTTATATCCACATCATTTTATCTCTGGTGGATAGTTGTCTCATTGGCAATCATACCACATTTCTGGTGGATAGTTGTCTCATTGGAAATCATACCACATCTCTGGTGGATAGTTGTCTCATTGGCAATCATACCACATCTCTGGTGGATAGTTGTCTCATTGGCAATCATACCACATTTCTGGTGGATAGTTGTCTCATTGGCAATCATACCACATCTCTGGTGGATTGTTGTCTCATTGGCAATCATACCACATCTCTGGTGGATTGTTGTCTCATTGGCAATCGTACCACATCTCTGGTGGATAATTGTCACATTGGCTATCATACCACATCTCTGGTGGATTGTTGTCTCATTGGCAATCGTACCACATCTCTGGTGGATAGTTGTCTCATTGGCAATCGTACCACATCTCTGGTGGATAGTTGTCTCATTGGCAATCGTACCACATCTCTGGTGGATAGTTGTCTCATTGGCTATCGTACCACATCTCTGGTGGATAGTTGTCTCATTGGCAATCGTACCACACCTCTGGTGGATAGTTGTCTCATTGGCAATCATACCTCATCTCCGGTGGATAGTTGTCTCATTGGCAATCATACCCCATCTCTGATGAATAGTCTCATTGGCAATCATACCACATCTCCGTTGGATAGTTGTCTCATTGGCAATCATACCACATCTCTGGTGGATAGTTTTCTCATTGGCAATCATACCTCATCCCCGGTGGATAGTTGTCTCATTGGCAATCATACCTCATCTCTGGTGGATAGTTGTCTCATTGGCAATCATACATGTACCACATCTCTGGTGGATAGTTGACTCATTGGCAATCATGCCACATCTCTGGTGGATAATTGTCTCATTGGCAATCATACCACATCTCTGGTGGATAGTTGTCTCATTGGCAATCATACCACATCTCTGGTGGATAGTTGTCTCATTGGCAATCATACCACATTTCTGGTGGATAATTGTCTCATTGGCAATCATACCACATCTCTGGTGGATAGTTGTCACATTGGCAATCATACCACATCTCTGGTGGATTGTTGTCTCATTGGCAATCATACCACATCTCTGGTGGATTGTTGTCTCATTGGCAATCGTACCACATCTCTGGTGGATAGTTGTCACATTGGCTATCATACCACATCTCTGGTGGATTGTTGTCTCATTGGCAATCGTACCACATCTCTGGTGGATAGTTGTCTCATTGGCAATAGTACCACATCTCTGGTGGATAGTTGTCTCATTGGCAATCGTACCACATCTCTGGTGGATAGTTGACTCATTGGCTATCGTACCACATCTCTGGTGGATAGTTGTCTCATTGGCAATCGTACCACACCTCTGGTGGATAGTTGTCTCATTGGCAATCATACCTCATCTCCGGTGGATAGTTGTCTCATTGGCAATCATACCCCATCTCTGATGAATAGTCTCATTTCAATCATACCACATCTCCGTTGGATAGTTGTCTCATTGGCAATCATACCACATCTCTGGTGGATAGTTTTCTCATTGGCAATCATACCTCATCCCCGGTGGATAGTTGTCTCATTGGCAATCATACCTCATCTCTGGTGGATAATTGTCTCATTGGCAATCATACATGTACCACATCTCTGGTGGATAGTTGACTCATTGGCAATCATACCACATCTCTGGTGGATAATTGTCTCATTGGCAATCGTACCACATCTCTGGTGGATAGTTGTCACATTGGCAATCGTACCACATCTCTGGTGGATTGTTGTCTCATTGGCAATCGTACCACATCTCTGGTGGATAGTTGTCTCATTGGCAATAGTACCACATCTCTGGTGGATAGTTGTCTCATTGGCAATCGTACCACATCTCTGGTGGATAGTTGACTCATTGGCTATCGTACCACATCTCTGGTGGATAGTTGTCTCATTGGCAATCGTACCACACCTCTGGTGGATAGTTGTCTCATTGGCAATCATACCTCATCTCCGGTGGATAGTTGTCTCATTGGCAATCATACCCCATCTCTGATGAATAGTCTCATTGGCAATCATACCACATCTCCGTTGGATAGTTGTCTCATTGGCAATCATACCACATCTCTGGTGGATAGTTTTCTCATTGGCAATCATACCTCATCCCCGGTGGATAGTTGTCTCATTGGCAATCATACCTCATCTCTGGTGGATAATTGTCTCATTGGCAATCATACATGTACCACATCTCTGGTGGATAGTTGACTCATTGGCAATCATACCACATCTCTGGTGGATAATTGTCTCATTGGCAATCGTACCACATCTCTGGTGGATAGTTGTCACATTGGCAATCATACCACATCTCTGGTGGATTGTTGTCTCATTGGCAATCGTACCACATCTCTGGTGGATAGTTGTCTCATTGGCAATCGTACCACATCTCTGGTGGATAGTTGACTCATTGGCTATCGTACCACATCTCTGGTGGATAGTTGTCTCATTGGCAATCGTACCACACCTCTGGTGGATAGTTGTCTCATTGGCAATCATACCTCATCTCCGGTGGATAGTTGTCTCATTGGCAATCATACCCCATCTCCGATGAATAGTTGTCTCATTTGCAATCATACCACATCTCCGGTGGATAGTTGTCTCATTGGCAATCATACCACATCTCTGGTGAATTGTTTTCTCATTGGCAATCGTACCTCATCTCCGGTGGATAGTTGTCTCATTGGCAATGGTACCTCATCTCTGGTGGATAGTTGTCTCATTGGCAATTGTACCACATCTCTGGTGGATAGTTGTCTCATTGGCTATCGTACCACATCTCTGGTGGATAGTTGTCTCATTGGCTATCGTAACACATCTCTGGTGGATAGTTGTCTCATTGGCAATCATACCCCATCTCTGATGAATAGTTGTCTCATTGGCAATCATACCCCATCTCCGGTGGATAGTTGTCTCATTGGCAATCATACCACATCTCTGATGAATAGTTGTCTCATTGGCAATCGTACCTCATCTCCGGTGGATAGTTGTCTCATTGGCAATCGTACCACATCTCTGGTGGATAGTTGTCTCATTGGCAATCATACCACATCTCTGGTGGATATTTGTCTCATTGGCAATCGTACCACATCTCTGGTGGATAGTTGTCTCATTGGCAATTGTACCACACCTCTGGTGGATAGTTGTCTCATTGGCAATCATACCTCATCTCCGGTGGATAGTTGTCTCATTGGCAATCATACCCCATCTCTGATGAATAGTCTCATTGGCAATCATACCACATCTCCATTGGATAGTTGTCTCATTGGCAATCATACCACATCTCTGGTGGATAGTTGTCTCATTGGCAATCATACCACATCTCTGGTGGATAGTTTTCTCATTGGCAATCATACCTCATCCCCGGTGGATAGTTGTCTCATTGGCAATCATACCTCATCTCTGGTGGATAGTTGTCTCATTGGCAATCATACATATACCACATCTCTGGTGGATAGTTGACTCATTGGCAATCATACCACATCTCTGGTGGATAGTTGACTCATTGGCAATCATACCACATTTCTGGTGGATAGTTGACTCATTGGCAATCATACCACATCTCTGATGAATAGCTGTCTCATTGGCAATCACACGACTTCTCCTTATTTTTATATTTAAATTATGGTTCTAGACAGAAAGTATCTGGATTCCTCTTTTAATGGCATTCAAGATGCAGGATTTATTTTTTTAGCAGAGGTTTGTCATTCTGAAATTTTTTTTTTATCATCATATGACCTTTTAGTGATAGTTTGTATTGAAATTGATGATTGATAATAAATGTAGCATAATTTTACTTATAAATGTCTCTGTCCATCTGTGTTTCAATCTGTTCATTTACACATTTCTGTTGTATTTTTCCTAGCAACTACATGCACTAAGATTCTTCTGCTTATGTCATACCATGTGAAACAATTTAAATTCCTTCAATATTCTACCTACATGAACCTAGTTCTTGTTATGACCAGAGGCACATAGGGCAAGGACTCCCCACTCGTCTCTGTTCTGTGCTGTCTTTAAGACTCTTTTCTATCTCACCACAGCTGATACTGTGGTCTTTCATTTCAGCTTTACTGTTCTTTGCCAATTTGTTTTGTGGAATCCTTGTTTTCTTTTTCCCTCTTGTGTCCATCTTAGGGAAACTCTTGTCATGTCCTCAGCTGTTATACGTATATCATGACCAATCCATGCTTCAGTAGTCTCCACATTGTTGGATCCTATTGTTTAATGGAGGTCTGTGTAGGAGATCTTACGTGGCCAGAATATCATCATGATCTTTTTAATGCAGTTATTATTAAAACTGGAAAGCTAATTGAAGTCTTCTTCAATAATTCTTCATCATTCTACCCCATACAACAGCACTGATGTATAGTACACATCTATTGTAGTCTAATTTTGATATTTTTATTGATGTTACGTACATCAATGTTCTACTTCCTATTTACCAAAAGCTTATATCTTTTGAAATGTCATGCAAATATATATCAAATTATTTTAGCTTATCTGATACCACCGTGTTGGTTGAAACAAAAAGCAACTACAGGCATGTGTAGGGTATTTGGGTTTTAAGTTACATAAAGTTTTTTACATAGAGCACTATATACTGTAAATTTAGAAATTATTGCATGCATTTATTATTGCGATTTTAAAAGAATGGACTGAAATGCAAGATTAATTATTGTGATTTTAGGAAACTATGCATACAGATTTATGTATCAGATATCAGGATGCGAGTTCTTATTATTGCGTTACTCATCCATTCGCATTATTTGCAGTAATAAAAACCTCACGATAATTTCTGAATTTACAGTAATTACTTTCAAAAATTTAAATTAAATATACAAGTATGATCAACAAAAGAATTCAAAAGAGGTTAAGTATATAGAATTAATAAATTTATTTTATGCAACAAATATCCTTATATGGACTTGACCCTCTTGACATTTATGTAAATTGTCAGCATTTTGTATGAGACAAGGACCAGGAAAAAGTCATATTTGGTATTCATGACTGATTTAAAATCCAAATGACAGAAATGAAATGAAAGTTCTTATTTGGTCAACTTGAAGACTTTGAAAGCTTGTGAATAAACTTGCCATACATTTTTATTTGTACATTTAAAGAGAAAAATAAACAAAATTTAGTTTGAAATTAAATTTGAATCTCCAGTTTTAAATCAGCAGTGCAATACATGTGTATTTTTAAATTTAATATCTCCTTGCAGAATTGTGACTTGGATTTAATTAAGGATGAACAGGTTCAATCAGAAATTCATCATTTGACAATGGCTGTTAAGACAGCAGACCTAGAGGATAGTCCAGGAACTTCATCACTAGAGGTTCTATCTGTAAGTTTATGTGGTAGCCATTTAAAGTCAAAGTCTTAACAATTTTAATGCCCCCGCTGTAAGCAATGGGGGCATTAAGTGTTAACCTTGACAGTCCTTCCGTCTATCCTTCCTTCTTTCTGTCCATCACATTTTTGTTTCCACACACTTACTTAAGTTTTCCACATCTAAATTTTATGAAAATGCTTAGAACCACAACACAGACAAAGTTCGAATTTGGGAAGTCGGTCATTTACCGTTCTAGAGTTATGCCCCTTCTTAACTTGGAAAGATTTTGCAAAACTTGAACAGGGGCATTCGTGTCCTCAGACACATTCTTCTTTTATTTTAAAAAAAATTGTGTATATGCTCACAAGATAAACATCAAATAAAATACTAGGTAAGGTACATTAAAAGGAGTGGTCAAAAGCATATCAGAACTATTGTAATCTTAACCATCCCCCCCCCCCCCCCCAAAAAAAAAACGGGAAAAAATAAGAGGAATACCAGTAAGCAGAAGAAAATTCTTATTGGTAAATCTGAAATTCATTTCAAGGACCTATGTAAATTTATCAATGACCAGACTAATAGGTCAACAATTCTGGGTATGTGATAGATTTAACCAGCAACTATTGTATTTTACTGAACACAAAACACTTGAAACTTAAATTTTAATATGACGTCCTTATTTTGTTTTGTAAAGAAAGCCATGTTCTAATTAGCACAAAATATGTTTGACACATGCACAAATATTCTTGTTATTTTAATATTTATCTTAATAAAGTGTATATATTGTAGCTGCTTATATAAAATTTTATTATATAATGTTATTCAAACATCAAATATTTACCCTGCTATTAGTTTTTGGAAAGATTGGAACTTGTTCCAATTCTTTCCTAAGGCACAGGCCTCTAAACAGAACGTGGACAGATTAGCTACTAAATCTATACACACTGACATAAAGTTCCCAATTGTTCTCATGTCTGTGTACATATGCACAAGTGAACTGGAAAGAAATTTGGTTACATCTTAATTTAGAGTATTTTTTCAAAAATAATAGGCATTACTTTTTTCAATTACTGGCTTAATTTTGTCTATTTACTTAAGTGTATTGATACATTAACAGTATGATTGACAACTGTCATGATCAAGGTACAATTAAACACAAAGGGTGGGACAATAATTGGAATTCTATATAGACTCCTCCTCCTTAATGCCAATCATAATTGACCAAATGAAATAACTTGAGTTTATACATAACATGGCAGACCACTCAATTCACAAACTTTGACCTCATTAATATCTGATATAATTTGATCTATATAGGCCAGTCTCTGTCTTCATGTTAAATTGAAAACTTACAAATACTAAATGGGGATTTCTTTAATAAAATTATATACAGATGATAGATTTTGCCTTTACCTATATATATATCTTTTGATTTACATTGCATTAAACAAATGATCTGTAAATCTTGTTTGAAAGATGATTAAGTAAGGATTAATACATAACTTTTTTTTTTAGGATAGACCAAAATGAAAATCTGTATGAGTAAAGAATCCAAGTGATGTCTGTTTTTCTTGCAAAATCTGTGCAACAATTATCTGTAATTATCCATAATTTTAATAGGTTGTATTATAAGAGAAGGTATTCGTATATTTGAATACTGTGAGGTAATATATTTTTCAATGAAATAAATACGAATTTGCCTCAAAAATTAAGTCTCCATCTTTGGACAATAGAATAAAAACATCATATTAAGTTTATTGATGTGAAAATGACCCTTTGTCAATCATGCATCTTCAATGTCATATATATTATTGTGTAAATTAAAATCAATAAGCTATACTTAGCAATGTTTGAACACAGAGTAACAGACATGGCCACCAAACAACAATTCACAGGTTAATTTTGGGAGATGAAAAAAGGACTCAAGTTTCAGGTCTCTTTAACCATTGATCCCAGGTTTACTGAGAAACTACAATGATATTTAATTTACTAGGTAATTTCTTTTTTTTCAAAAAAATATAAACATTAAGTTGCAATCAAAAAGAAGTTATTATGCAAATTTAGTGACCCACTGACATAAATCTATTACTGAAAAATTACTTATTCTAAAAATCTGCAGTAATATAACTAACAAATATGCAATCGTGCTATAGTAAGTTTTTGTTGTCCACCATCACTGCTATGGAAGTGTAAAATATGATTGAAATTATACGCACAATTCTTCCAATCTTTCCATTAGTGATTTTAGATCACTTTGACATGTTTGATTAAACTTACCATGAGGTGTAAAATATGGTCAAATATAATGCCTACCCATGTTAAAATGAGCATAGAGCATGAAGGAATTATTTCTTAAATAAAATGGGCAGACATTTTTGATCCTTTTTAACATTTAGTCATAAAACGACTAAGATGTTTCATAGTTCAGACTTTGATAATATAAAAAGGGGGGATGAAGACAATTAGATGACAATAAAAAAAAAAATATAAGAGAGACGAACAACACCTTCAAGAAATGAAAAAAAAACCTTAAACAACAATGACCATGATGTTACACCGAAAACTATTTTTAGTAACCCAAACCCTGCCAAAAACTCAGGTTGAATTTGGGTGCACCTGAAGGGAAAGTTATAGCCACACATTATATGAAAAAAATTGTGATGTCACACTGATACAAAAAGACATGTATCAATCCATATTTATGTTTTCTTTCAAATTCATGAAAATTTGAAAGTATAAAACTCCTAAAAGTCTGTTAAAATCACCATGGCCACCATACAGTGTTTTTAGATGAAAGTTAATAATAATTAAAATGTTTTGAATTAAAGAATGATTTCATAAATTGCAAGGAAAAGTTATAAAATGCAGCTTTTTCCCTAAAATTATGTAAAAAATAGCGGTAGTTTTAATAACCAAAACAGTCACTGTTACAGGAAGCAAGCAGACAAATCGTTTAACATTGAACATGTACTGTTACATTTTACAGGAGGCAAGCAGACAAATTATTTAACATTTAAAGGGAAAGTCCGCGATTTTTTACTTATCATCTAAATATGATCATCTTGACATAAAAAACACATTCACAAAGTTTTAAATTTATATTCTTTCTAATAACGGAGAAAATCAAGTATTTGCAACTTTTTTGGTTGACCTACGTCACTGGGTTGTGACGTTTTAACCCGATTTGTTGAATCATGGGAAAAAATAAAATCAGTTAAAGTCTTAATTGCTTATCAGAATTTTAGGTTAATTAAAAGCGCACAGATGACCGTTGGTCGTAGTTAATAACCACAATATAAGAATGAAAGAAAATGAATATGTGTGTACCTTTTTGTATTGATTGAATAAAACTTCCTATATGAAGTTATCTAAATATAAATATTTTCGAATTAATTTCATAAATTATTGAGATTTTTTCATAAAATATCTATAGAACATTTTTACTGATAATGAACTGAAAATATTTTAAGTTTTATTTACCGTTATAACTTTGATAACCATTTTAATGCAAAATATTTGTGAACAGAGTGTGTATATTATTTTGTAAAGTCATTGTTTATTTCTCGATTTGAGGAGAATTCGTTTGAACTTTACCTTGCAGCAATTTAGCCTCAGGCGTACACAGGTGTGAATATTGTCATGTTGAATGGATTAACAGACAGAGTATAGCGTGTTTAATATACCCAGATGAAATACCCGATAACAATAGAGAAACAATAATTAAATTGCATAAATTAATTGAAAATTAACATTCAACTTTTTAATTCCGGAAGTGTTACAATATTAAAATGGAACAATTTTCGGTTACGTTCTATGCAATTAGCATAAAGTTAAAATATGAAGTTAAAAGAATAGTACTTTTAATCTTAAAAATTAAATGTTACATTTCCCAATTAATAATCATTGCACATCTGTTTAATTTATTTTACCGGAATTCTTTAACTTGTATTATTTAAATCTGGCGATGTTTAAATGCTAACAATCGTAAAACTATCGCAATTTTAAAGTTTTTAATTGAAAAAATACAACAGTACAACATGCATGATTTTTTTTAATTTTCTTATTAACATTTCATTCTTACATAATTAAATTCATTTGACAATCACTTAGACGAATTATTTGTGAAAAGAATACCAATTATCGTTTATTTCATTAATGGATATACATACATTGTAAATCTAAGCTAATACATTAATTTGTTTGAGGATTTTTTTAAGATAGCCGTCATTAATCCAAATTAGTAATACAGTTGTTGTAATTGAAGGCATATCTTAGTAATGTATTACTGATATTGACGATTTTAGAACAGTTCGTCCCAACCTCGTTGTTCTTGAAACAATCTTTACTAGTATACTTGTAAGTTTCCTGACGTATAAGCGCCATTGAGGATGAGCTCCAGAGATAGCAGACTAGTAGCGTATTTGTTTGTTGGGGCAGGAGAGGCCATGCAACCACTTGTACAGATAAACAAGCTTATGTTGTCAACACTATCAGAAAGAGTTCCCATCGTCGGATGGGGTATATGAAGGTTCCAAGAATGAACTATTGACATGTCTGACTCTGAACAGTTAGTAAACGGACTTAACAATGATCTATAGACATCGACCGCTTGTTCTTGATATTTGAAACTGCATGCATATATACGTTTATGAGAGTGATTATTTATCTTGTATCTGACGAAAACTAAATGCCTGCATGGTTATATCTTGCCATACGTTTGTATTGGTTTGGTGGGTGTTCACTCAAAATCGTAATTCAAAAATTGTGTTTGTGAGATGTAGATTCACTTCAATACCGAATTTCGTCTATATATTTCACAAGTGTATACCACGGAGAAGATCTGAAGGTATATTACTCCCATTTTGTTTGGGTGTGAACCATCGATGTTTACAGCAATATTTAATGAATAAGATGATGATGGTAGAAAGAACTATGATCGTCATGTGGCAAATATTACATGCATGTCGGACCATGAGTTGTCAATCTGTATGAAAAGATTTCCAATACAACCATATTGAGTAGGAATTTTTACATTCTATACTCTCGTACTAGTATTACAGGGTTCTTGTGTCGTTTAACTCAGACACACATCTTTTACTTTAAGATGTATGAAAGGTTCTAAATATATATATATATATCTTAAATGTAACAATAATCAAACGCCTATAGGCAATCACTAAAATGGTATGAAGTTTTTATACAGATTTATTCTTATTTACACAATCATTAACAAACTAAATAAATTTAACAAAGTAACACCGTGACACTACGATATAACAAATGGGATACTAATTATTTTTAACCATGCTATGCAGAAACTTAACACATCAAGCAGGAACATATTTATTAATATACTGGTCCCAGCATCAAGTTAGTGCACGTGAATACCAATTAGGAACACGATGTGTGATTTTGTATAGCAAAAAATATCAAAGCGAGCAATAACTTTGTCAAGCAAACATTTTTTTTCACTATGCCTCTCTTTATCTCTGCTCCTTTACAATAACTATTTCGCTTTTCGTCGATCATTCTCTATATTGTTCTCTATTCGGTTATTTTTTTTTTCACTATGCCACTCTATCTCCGCTCCTTTTCCCCCTGTCGTCCTAATCCTTATAAAGATAGGGACATTAGACATAGAAGGGGCTCTCTTATCTTCAATGAATTAATATTGATAGTGACTATAAGTGCTGCATTACTTTATATATCTGCATGTTTGCCAATCGACAAAAGCTTGTATTTGCTTGAAGATTTTTTTTTCTTCAAAAATATGGTCCAGAATCATGACAAAACAATATTCATTTCACAAAAATGTTCAAAGGTCATGTTTATAATTTTTTTTAAACTTATTATCAGCAAAAATAGTGGATAATATAATTATCAGAACATCATTCATTAAAAGGTGGAATTATAATTTCAAACACACACAAGATAAACAACGTTAGACACAAATATATGGTTCATTAAATGTTACCTGTGCACACCAGGTACCTCAATAAAGAGGCCATGCATGAACCTGTATTATATAATTGTGTAATACGAATTTTTAGTTGACAGGATGTCACTGGAATACCCAGGGACGTGTATCTAATATATGTCCTTGGAATACCTAACTGAATGTGTCGCTCTGACACGACATCTTTCAATAATTCTGACATACCTATTATCAATTCGGGAGGAAGCCAAAATATATATATATAATAAGATAACGTAAATAAAATTTAAAAAGAAAAAAAACCTATAAATTTTTCACCGAACATACCAGATAGAGTCACACATTTAACTGTAAAGCTAAGTGTCTTTATAAGTGACCGTTCCGAATTGATCCCGTATCAATTTGATATAATTTAAAGATTAGTTAAAAAAAAAAACACTTTTAATAAAAAAATTGAGATGTCCGATATTTCGATATTTACATATGTATAACCTGGGAATATTATACTATATCAACATATTATGTCCCAGCTAAAACCTCTTCCTAACATTGACCTTGTCAATAGCCGTTAAATATCATAATTAAAAAAATGTTATTTTATATGGTATACTTTATTAATTGAAAAATTATCTTGTCTAAATACGGAACTATTCTTTATACAAATCAATGCACTTTATATAAAAGAGGCATACTAATGAATCTTCTGTAAATCAGTGATTGTTACAAGAACACTGCATTTGTCTTTCTTATAATTGAAACTGTTCTTCCTCATCAAATCTATATTTTTTTTATTCAACGAGATCTTATCATATAAGGATTTGATAACTATAGCTATCAGAACTGCTAGGTTATTTTGTTATTAAAAAAGGATAATTACCATCGAATCTCCCTCGAAACAATATTGTTCAAAATGGTCTTCACACACCAACTTGTGCTTGCTATAGATGCAACTATTTGCTGTTAGTTTAAGGTTGTACAACCATGTCTGATACAATTCTTTCTTTTTTGTGGGATTGGGAAAACTATGTAGACTTTTGTCATAACCTTGTCTGACAGAACAACCGTACGCTTGACAAGACATTTTGACACTGAATAACCGTCTACGGTAATCCCCAATTGATGATGGGAGTTTTTAACGCACGGTCGGTAAATCCCCGATTCTTTTTGTTCTTTGTGGTTTATAGATATCACGTGACTTTTTAGATCGAACATGCCGACAAGATGGCGATATGTCGAGAACTGATAGTGAATTTCAAAAATCGATTTTGATCTCTTTACATAGAGAATAAAAGTTTTTTATTTATGAACATGTGGTTTTTTATGCTTAAAGAACAAAATATCAATTTTTCATTTTTTTGCGGAGTTTCCCTTTAACATGTACTGTTACATTTTACAGGAACCAAGCAGACAAATAGTTAAACATTTAACATGTACTGTTACATTTTACAGGAACCAAGCAGACAAATAGTTAAACATTTAACATGTACTTTTACATTTTACAGGAGGCAAGCAGACAAATAGTTAAACATTGAACATGTACTTTTACATTTTACAGGAGGCAAGCAGACACATAGAAGATCCACTAGTCAATCCTTCTCCCATTGTATACCTTTATTGGGAAGCTAGAGCACAGGGATTTCATAATTTGAGAGGAAAGCTTTTTGCTGAAGCTTTTGTTAGATTCTTGTTCATTGGAGTAAACAATGTTACTTTTTCTTACTCAACAACTGGACTTGATTCTCACCTAGATAGATGGGGGTATGTAAAGAAAGGATCATCAAAACGACCATCAGAGTGCTATGATGGTAATTATAAACAAGTACTTTCAAATACAGGAATGAATTCAAAAGACCAATACTTAACAGTGTTAAAAAATCAAGACAGTGTTGAGTTTGATCTGGAAACAACTTCACTGAAGGCCGCATCTGATATTTTTGTATGGCGAGGTAATAAATTAGTGATGATTGCCGTAGTGACAAGCATAAATGACAGTGGACAGAGAAAAATGCAACAACTTCAACAGAATATGTTGCTAAGTTTAGATAGACAAAAAACACTTTTTGGCCTAGTAGTACAAGGTCACCAGGTCACTCTTGCCGAATATACAATTGAACAACACTCCAGAGATTACAAAAGAAGTGTTAGTGAAACAGCATTCAGTTATACTAAAAATGATCTTAAACTGTTATATTCCTGTGTACAAAAACACTTTGCAGGGTAACAGGAAACAGTGAACAAGTTTAAAAACATTTAACTTTTTTACTTGGTAGTTGCAATCGTTACCATGAAATCAGCCAAATTTGTATTTGTCCAATACTTCATGAACTGAACGAAAGTGATAAAAAGTATTATTATACTTCATGTCAAAAAAGTGATAGAGCAGATTGCTACCCCTTGAAAAGACATTGTCAACCTTCAATTTTGGAGAAGTCGGGTGTCCGTCATTGGTGTGGTGTGTTATACCGTGATTAATATCATTAAGTTGCACACTGCAACTGTCTTTTCAAAGTTCTTAAACTTTGTTGGTATAAAATGGCTTTGCTTCAGTAGACAATGTTTTTCTCGGGGTAACAATCTGCTCTATCACCCCCTCAGCTATGTGTTATTTATATATTAAAATATAAGGAAGATGATTTTAAATAAGACAAAATAAAACAATTGTTGAAAATTATTTAATATTTAGCTATCTTGTCTCCTCTACATTAATATACATATAAAAATAAGAATATGTGGTATGATTGCCAATTGGACAACTCTTCATCAGAAGTTAACAGCTATAGGTAGTAAGGGCTGTTCCATAAAAACATACATGGGACCCAGAGAAGGCACTTCCAAATCTCAACCTTGGTGGGTGTCATCTATCATGTCTATGTTTTTGCTTAGTGGTAATGTAAGTGAAATTTTGATTTGCCGCTGTAGGTGCTTACCCAATTTTTATACCTTCCCTGGGTACCATGTATGTTTTAATGGAACAGCCCTAATACACAGTTAGGAAAAACTTAAAATTGCAAGCCAACTCATGATTTTTTTTTCACTCTTTCTGTTGCTTTCTAATAAATAAGGCTTACTGTTTGTGTCATGTATGTGCATATGTATGGAAACAGCATCTTCCATAGATTTGATTTCCAATAGTTAAAATTGTGAAACATAATCTCTTTTTAGTGTAACCATGGCAACAATCTGCAATTATTTGATACAAAATATTGCAAAAATGGGGGATGAAAATGTCACAAAAGTCCCCAAAAGTTGGTCCAAAGTAGAATTTAAATCCATTTTAGTGATACATGTACTTTTTTCTGAACGACCATTTAATTAAATAGTCAAATTTTTGTTTGATAAGATTGTGTGGAAGTGTAGTGTAAAGAGTAGAAAAGTCAAAACTGTCAACAGAATCAAAAGGACCATCAAAAGCACGTAATTTATCTAAAACATCCAAAGAATTTTTTACACTCCAAAAATAGTTAATTCCACTATTTTCATATATTTTATTACAATAGTTTATGATAAGCTCTTTGATAGTAGTTAAGGAACTTGTTAAAAGCACTGAAAGATTAGTTGTAGAACACTTACTAGAGGCCGAGATGAAACGATATTTTACTGGTTTTTTGTGTAGTTTAGGTAACCAATACATAGTAGGGACCTTCAAATGTTCAGAAGAAGCCTTAAGCTGTGATGTGGTTATGATATGTTTGTTAACTATATGACTCTCTGTGGGCACATGGACTTGAATGTAGATGAATTTAAAATTTCATTCTTAATAACGTCCGTGTAGTATTTACGGCATACCACCACCACATTGTTGGCTGCTTTGTCGGTCGGTACAAACACAAACTGCTTTGAAAGTTCTTGAAGTTTATTTCTTATTCTGGAAATAGGCGTATTATGTACTCTATTATTTCCTTCTAAATTATTTTCAAAATGTGATATTCTATTATCTACCACATTCATACATTTATTTAAATAAGAATCAAGAGATTTTTTATCAGATTTTTCCCGTTTACACCAATTTTTACAAAACGAGGAAAGAGCATCTTTGGTGACCTGATGACACTGTTTCCAATCTATTTTAGATGGAGGACGATATTTTGGTCCTTTTTTCAAAAAGTTTTTAACCTCTCTGTCCTGGATGATATTGAGGTCCCCCGTAATAACATGGCCATAGGGAACATATCTAAACTCGACGATTCACAGTTTCACGTTAAAGGAGTATTATTTTCTACATTTACGTCTGATGTTACCGGCGTATAATTAAAAATTAAACTTCTGCTGGTTTTTTTGTATGTGTATGAAATAATAGGTGGTTCTGTGTTATCAAAATATAATTTAATTTTGGATGTAACGCGTCTTCTGATTGGCTGACATTGTTTTGTTTATCTGCTCATAGACATAATTTTGTCATGTGACCGTGACATCATCAACGTTTTTTCATGGTTTACTCCGGTTTAAAATGAAATTTAGAATTAAATTATAAGAAATGACTGTAATATTTTTTCTGTCTATTCGAAATAACATAAAAAATGTGGTGCACACTTTAAAATAACCCGCTACGCGGGTTATTTAGTGTGCACCACATTTTTGATGTTATTTCGAATAGACAGAAAAAATATTACAGTCATTCCTTAAAGGGAGGTATGAAGTTTTGAACGGTAGAGTCATTAAATATACTAGATAAGTTGATAAAATCAATACCTCTGCTAATATACATAATTTTTAGAAAATGACGTTTATGATCTTCAGGTTTGTCGATACGCGGGAACAGCCTATGGTGGCAAAAAGCTGTAATTATACGCGAATATTCATACAGCGGGCTGAAGAAAGAGGTGGTGTCACACTCCTTGAAAATATCATGTAATTTACTAATTGGTATTTGACCAGTTTACATAATAATTGATGCCTACCATTGTATTTATAGATAGGAGATTACCAAGTGTATAATTTATACAATGTTTAATTCGTTGATTTCAATTGATACGTTTGCCATGAGACCTATTATTTCATTGTCTTTTATCCATAATATTCATGATATCAATAGAAGAAGTTGTAGGTATGTTCCCTTGTCCAAGTATATTGTCATTTAGACCCAGGGGATAAGCTGTTTGAAGTCGTTTAATCCAAGACAGTTCGATAATTTTACGGGAATCTTTAAATTGTTTATGCGATTGCCCTTGTTGTTTCTGGATCGTATCTAATAAATTTAATATTGTGGTTGTGTTTACCTAAATGTTGATAAATTATACTTTTGAATTTCTTAGGTTTTCTTAGGTTTTCAGAGCGGTATAGATGTTCCTGTGTTCGTTTAAAAAAATACTGTCCTGTTTGTCCTACATATTGTATACCACACTTTGGCTTTGTTCATGTAACCAGGTAAATGAGGCTTTGGGTTTTTCATGTAATGTCACAGGAAAAGGAAAGCGAAAAAGCTCTCCCGTTCACTGTTGACCTTATCAGAAGATAATCTAGATCAGGTTTGTCATTTTCTGGCATTGCACGGAGATATTTGTGGATATCCACGTGCATTTTTATTGAATAATCTGGCTGCAGCAGCATTCCCACCTTTGACACGATTATAAAAAGTGCTAAATTTAGAAGGGAAATTTCGATTGCCGGCGGTTGAATTAATATTTGGAATGAGGTTTTTAGAGCACGTGAATATCCTTGAAGGATTATTGTATAATGTTTTTTTTTCCCCATTTTGTAAAATCATGATTAATTAAAGTGTAATGAGAAGGATGCTTGTTCACGGTGACAACTTGCAACATATTTATATGCCTGTTACAACCTGCAACATATTTATATGCTAGTCACAACCTGCAACATATTTATATGCCTGTTACAACCTGCAACATATTTATATGCCTGTCACAACCTGCAACATATTTATATGCCTGTTACAACCTCCAACATATTTATATGCTTGTCACAACCTGCAACATATTTATATGCCTGTTACAACCTGCAACATATTTATATGCCTGTCACAACCTGCAACATATTTATATGCTTGTTACAACCTGCAACATATTCATATGCCTGTCACAACCTGCAACATATTTATATGGTTGTTACAACCTGCAACATATTTAATAGTTGTTGTAAGTGATATCTTAATGTTTTTCTTTGTTTACAAACATCTCTTTTTATTTATATGAAGTGATCACAGAATTTTACACTTTTATAGCTGATTATACAGTACGGGTTTTTCTCATTATTGAAGGCTGTGCAGGGGCCTATAATTGCTTCTATCTTTGTTATTTGAACTCTGGTGGATAGTTGTCTCATTGGCAATCATACCACATCTCCTTT